CGAGCGAGAGCTTGGTCACGCGCAACACAGGAAGTCGCGCGCGGCATTTAATGCTGAGGCGGTCAGCGTTTTTCTGCGCGTCTATCTATCTTATTTCGGAGTGCTATATATACCCCCTAGAGTTATTTGTAGCCGTATGATTGTGTCATTGAGTGATCATTTAGAAGTCTGAGAGTCTTTTGTGTATTTCTCAACTGTGAGATATGAGAGAGATAATATTAGAAATCCGAGAGACAATCAATCAGTTTTCTGTGATTGTTCTCAAATCTGTTCTAAATCTGTATTTTGTTTTCCTCAAGATCAATAAAATATTACTCTCGCCTGCCCGTGGACGTAGCCAACAAATTATTAGTGAACCACGTTAATTTGTGTGTATTTTTTCTTGTCAATTTTACATTCAATATTTGTTCTTTCTTGCATCCGTTGTTACAACAGTTAGCATTTGCCAATTAATAATATGCAGCGAAACCATCTAATATACATTGTTCGTACTTGTAGCATAATAATTAATAAGTGTTAATGCTAAACAAAACCTACAAATTCATTTAAGTATCTTCTAATTTAGTAAATAGCATGTTTCACACTCATTATCCCCTTTAAATTTATTTTCAGCCCACTTGCCTATGTAGTGGCCAATATACTAATTTTGAGCGTTAAATATTAAAAATTAAAAAGCTTCATATTAATACTAACAAAATTAATTATTGTTGAATTTATATTAATTCTCCTACCTCCTAATTAATGCATGCATTATTGCTCATTTGTTATGAGTGAAACAAACCTCATGACTTCTAGTTAAGTCTAGATGCTGCATGATTAAGGAAGCACTTTGATGGTTAATCTTTAATTTGTGAGGGATCCTTTAGATTTGGTTGTCTAAATGTAGGGTACGGTTGTCGATAAGTGTCATCTATTATCAAATACAACCCTTTAACTCAATTTCATCATATTAGTGTCAAAACTATATCTTATACGGAGTAATATTGATTTGATTTATGGCCCAAATTTGCGATCATCATCCAATTCAACAATATGATATGAACATAAAACTTTGCCTTACACCCGAGCCGCACACAAAGATATTTTATTAAAGTAATACACACCTGATTTAATACGCATTTTAATGACATGAATATTACCCTATGTATAAAAAAAAATTATATTTTATCAAGATGTATAAAATACTATTTCTTTTAATTTTTAAATAAACAACATAGCTCAAAATTGTTTAGAAATCAAACATTAATAGAACTTATTCAGCTTAAATGCTACTTTTGATTTGAGTTTTGAAGATGATACTCATGATGTAATGAACCACTGTATAACTTTTTAATAATGCAATCAATAGAAGAAGCATATTAGTGTCCTCGAAGTGTCAGACTACTTGGAAAAAAAATAAAAAATAAAAAACCTTGATGATCAAAATAAAATGATTGACCTAATACATCAAGATTCTTTCCAAAAAAAAATAGAAAATTTAAATATCAAATAAACAATGTCAGAAAAAGACACAATACATGAAGTGAGTCAGAAACTTATGGGCCCATTAACCGAATGATACAATCAGCCCATTAGTCTGAAACCCCCCAGCTTCTGAATCACGGAGTAACATACTTGATCCTTCCAATTTCAGAGCATTTATCCTTTTTTTTTTTCCTTGAAAATTTGCATGATTTTTTTTTTAAAATGAAGCTATATACTAACGCATTTTTATTTTTTTTTGTTGAAAGTAAGATACAGGGGACAAGATTAGGAATGTCTTCTCACAAGACCGTCTATCTCGTAGTAAAAAGTATGAAAACTTGCTATCGAAGAAGGGATCAATATCCTAGTGGGTCGTAGTAGAGTAACCCAGAGACGCAACATAGTCTGCTGTTGTGTTTCATTCACGAAAGATGTGTTGAGATTTAAAGGCTAAGAAGGAATCCAAGATGGTATTGATGTCTTCCATAAGGAGCTCAAGCTTCCACGGGCAGTTGTAGTGTCCCTGCAAAATACTAATAACAGTCAAATTATCGCCTTCAATGAAAATATGGGAAATATTGTGCTCCTTAGCCAAAAGAATGCCATTTTGCAGGGCAAATGCTTACGCAAGAAAAGCCGAGCAAGAACCTAAGTTATAAGTACAACTAGAAATATGATTGTCAGTAGCATCCCGAATGACAACACCAGCAGTAGAATTATGAAGACTTGTTGAACCATCAAAATTTAACTTGCAATATCCTGTTGGGGGAGGAGACCATGGGACGATCGTATCAGTAGTAGTGTGCTGAGGTTTAAGAGAAGAGTTAGTATTCGAGGGGTGAAGGGAGTCTAAAAAATTCCTTGCCTGCCATTCCTGGTAGAGTGACAAAGCACGGAAGAAAACTGACTGTACAAAGGGGGTGAGGCTTTGAAAACAGACGCATTTCTGCATTTCCAATGACTCCATAAAATAATTACAATCTTGGGAAGCAGGCATTAGGACGAACGTTTAAGGGAAGATAGAAGAGCATGGAAGAAAGAAGACGGAGGAAGGATGCCTATCCAGTTTCTAACAGAGGAGGAGGACCAAAGGTGAAAAGAGAAAGGGCAATGAAGAAATACAAAAGGCACAATGCCGCGAGACATTAATATGCCTAGAAGCTAAAGTGTGACGAGTGGGAAGACTATTACGGAGAAGTTGCCATAAAAAAAAAAAACTGGATTTTAGGAGGGATATCCTCCCTAATAAAGGTATCCATAGTGAGATCAAGATCTGAGATTTGATCCGGGTCCAAGTCTAACAAGGCTATGATATTAGTGTCAACACACCAGATATCAACCAATAAAGTATAGAAGAACCATTCCCTACTTTCCAACCAATAGAAGTAGGTAATCTAGCAGTGGACATAGCATAAGAAGGGATAGCCTCCAGGTGACTCTAGATAAGGACAACCTTACCTGCTTTGGAAACCAAATTAGATCACCAAGCATTCATTTTTTGGGAAATTTTCTTTAGCATAAGTACGAGCATTAAAAAAATACCCTAAGTAGCGGTCTAGACAGAGTCATATTAAAATAGCTACCTAAAATTGATTTATTTCTATGAGTAACATATTTTGAGAAAACAAGAGAAGATTTCTGAAAATTTATAAGTTGACTCGAAAGGGTAGCGAATTCTGTTAGGGTATCTCGAAGAGTACCACAAGCAATAGACGTTGCTTTACAAAATAAAAGACTATCATCGGCAAATAAGAGTCAAGGTATAATAGGGGCCATTTTGATGCCAACGCCTAGATTTTTCGAGTGAGAAAGGAGGAGTAGTTTTTTGGATAAGACTTCCATACAAATGACAAAAAGGGCTGGTGACAGGGGATCACCCTGGCGTAAACCTCTGGAAGGGCGGATAAGGTTAGTAGTAGAGAAGTTAACAACAGGGGAATAAGAAGCCGTAGTAACACAAATTTTAATCCAATTTATCCAAGTTTGGTTAAAACCAAAAGAAGCAAGGGTAGTCCACAAGAAGTCCCATTCAATACGATCATAAGCTTTTTCCACATCTAATTTTTGAGCTAACCAACCTTTTTTACTTTTCGATTTGTTAAGAAGGTTTAGAATCTCATGAACAAGGAGAATATTATCTTGTATAGTATGATCTGGTGTGAAGGTATTTTGGAACGGACCTATGATTTTCTTAAGAAAAGGTTTAAGACGGTTAATCAAGATTTTAGAAATAGCTTTGTACAAGTACTACATAGATTGATAGGTCGATAATGACTAGCTTTGGATGGAGTAGCAATTTCAGGAATTAAATTAATAATAGTATGGTTTAATTCCTTTTGCAAAATACCAGTATGAAATAAATGCAAATTAGATTATACATGCGAGGGCGAGAACATGGTGCACAAATTACTTCCAAGAGAATAAATAAAAATATATAACTAAGAGCATAATGTGCATTTAAAAAATAAAAAAAAAATAAAAAAAAGAGCAAAATGTGCATCATACTCTCAAAGCTTAAACATAATAGGGTTATGGTATTTTGTGCAACCCTTACATTCCCCTCAACTTCCCATGAAGTAAATGAATAGACTAAAAGCTTTGGGTGTAAAGTTTTGACAATTCTTAACATCCAAATTACTGTCAATTATAGGTTAGTTGATGTTGCAATTTCTTAATTTAGGATGTTTAGCAAAGATAAGTTTCCAAAATTATAAGCACGAGTCTTGCAGCTACACCAGCTACAAAGCGGGTTGTGGTTACAGCTTATGCGACTTGGTAAGACCAGAGCAAAATGATTCAGGTTGTAGTTACTGCTAGTTTCCTGCTGGTCTGCTGCCGCATTACCTGCACACTCGCCCTTTGGTTGGTAGAAGTTTTGATGCATACTGGAGGATGCTGGAAGCTACTGCTTTTGAAGTGAACGTGGATGGCGCTATGTATGGGGTATCAGCAGCTACGCAAAAACTAGTATGCCAGTAGTTACACTGGGGCAAAGATGCCAAGATGGTGTTTGATTTACTTACAGCCATTCAAAACAAAGTCGGGACAAAAAAAAAAAAAAAAAACGAACTCAGCAAACTATTACTGCTTGTATATATACTTCGTATTTTTTAAAACATGAGGATACAATTGTAATATGTAAGTATCACTTAGGCCCAATTTAGTTCACCTTATTTTTACTTATCTGAACTAACCCTTATCTGATCTGATATAATCTTATCTGATTGGGTCTGATATGATCTCATCTAGTCTGATCTGAAAACTTTGACATTAAGTCTACGATAATTTGTAAGGAAAAAATATATCTAGTGGAATCTTATTAGATTCGTAATAATGTGTATTTTATTAACATGTAATTTTCATAATTTTTTTCATTACGAAATTAAAGATATTTAGCAGTAAAAAATTGCACATAAAACGATGATTTGATCCGAACTTATTTTTTCTAATATAATCTAGTCTGAACTTATTTTTTCTGAAATAAGTAAAAATAAATTAAACTAAACAAGGCCTTAAAAAGGTGAAAATTTCAAATATTGCCAAAGTACGCACTCAAATGTTATCTATAAATAGCTCCAGAATAAAACCTTTATAGAATTCGAACAAGCCTTGGATAAAATATTCAACTGTATGGCTGACCAGTGAATTGAATCTGAAAGAAATAAATAAAATCTACCTAAATTTTGTGCCATACTAGTGAGCCAAGCATAACAGAGCCTCGTCGACACCAGCTAAGCTCTCAGACTCGACAGATTTGCGGATATTAATCAGACAAATACAAGTATTGCAGTATCATCATCATATCAATCATACTTGAAAACCACAGCAGCGAAAGTTGTACCGAATTGCAAAGCAGTAGCTAAGAGAACAACCATCAAAATAGAAGCAAATAAAAGAACCTAAATTGCATCCATTTCCTACAGGCTACAGCCACTTGCTATGAACATTCGCAGTTTTACTTATCATTAAAAATCGTCATTTGATCTGGATTGGCCACCATAGCCTCCGCCACTGCCACCACCGTAGCCTCCGCCGCCGTAACCGCCGCCTCCGTAACCGCCGCCTCCGTAGCCACCGCCTCCACCTCGGGGAGGACCTGGTGTCCTCTCATTTGCAATACTCACACGGATGTTGCGTCCATTAAGATCCTGTATATACATCAGTGCACAAATTTTTTTAATAATGATGATCTGCATGTGTATTTTGGATATATAAAAGAACTTTGTAAGTAGGTTGTGTGTTCTCACCTGGCCATCCATGGCAGACAATGCACTGTTTGCGGCTTCAGCATCTGCAAAGTTGACAAACCCAAATCCCCTAGACCTTCCGGTGTTTCTATCAGTGATAACCCTAGCTGTAAAATACAAAAAAAAAAAAATGAATGACTTAACAACTGCAGACTTTAAGACGATCACTAAAACTTGCAATACAGTTGTTTCTGAAAAACAGCTTCAACAAGGAATAGATAATACTCACCATCTACTACTTCACCAAAATTGGCAAATGCATCCTTCAATGAGCCATCATCAGTTGCGAACGAAAGACCTGAAGTGGACATAATAGTTGAGTTAAAAAGTTCCATACTAAAATTGCATAAATTATTACTTGTATAAATCAATCAAATACCTCCAACAAAAAGCTTTGAAGAAGACATGCATCGAATAGCAGTCATCATAAATGAGTTGGAAGTTTGTGAGATGCCTTGACCAAGTATGCTGCCAATTCTGTTTAGGAACGCCATTTTCGACAATAATCTGCACAGAACATGGAAAATCAGGGGGGTACACTATAACTTAAAATCTCAAAGGAAAAAAATCCGCATTTTACAATATCTTAAATTCAAATTTCAATATGAGAACGGGCAAGTTTGTTAAATATCTATTTTTCATACACTATAATCATATGCTTCACACTAAATCATCATAAGGAAAAGGTCTTCCGCAATCTATACATTAAAGTGTATAATCTCATAGGAAGAGCACTCAATGGGCTTACAATTCACATGCTAAAAAAAAAAAAATCAACCTTGCTGTTATAGTAGCTAATTAGTTGCACGAAGTACCCACTTCCTATTCCAATATTTAGCAAACAAAAAAAGAGTTGAATCAAAAAACTCGCGAGCTGTTTGGTAGTTGGTAGTATAGGGTGGTAATGGGAAGGAATTAAGCATAAATTTGTGAGGTAAGCATAGCATTACCAGGGGCATGAGCTCGAGACGTTCTTTACAACTTATTCCAATTACCATTATTTATAACCAATTACAATACGTGTCGCCAACAGCTCAGACACAATCTAGACTACTATCAGTAAGCTTAACCCTTAAAACAATTATTTACAGTAATCAAGCATGCCATTTCTCAAAATGTACAACAAATAATTAAGTCATTGAACCCTTTCGAACGATAGGAAATAAAACCTTATTAATTCATACAGAACATCCATATATGATTATATAGAAAATACTATTCATGCAGCCAAGAAATCATAAAACTCATGAATCATTCTTCAATCAAACTTATTCATCAGAATCCAAAAATTAAAACCAATACAGAGTACAGATTAATTAACCTAAAACTCCCAACTTTGATAGAAAATATCTAATAAATCATATCCCAATTACACAAAAACTACATCTTGCATACCAAGAATGAACATTTCAAAAACAAAATCAACATTAATACATATTTAACCTAAAATAACTAATCATGAATCACTCAATATATAATTTTCAGCAATAATTAAACAAATCAGCAAGAAATTGACATGAAACAGGGCAGCATAAACTACAAATCATCATATGAATTACAAAATACAAGAACAAATAAAAAAAATTGAAGATCGTAAAACGACAAACGAAAAAAATGCAAGAAAAAACCCTACAAAATGAAAAGAGGAATACCTGAAGAGAGAGAAAGAAGAGAGAGAGAGAGTGAGGTTTAGGAGCGGCTAGGGTTTAAGCTTTTGAGAAGCTTAAAATGAGGTTGGTATCACAGATATCTTACGGACCTCTTTTTATAGGGTTACAAAAATATCATCAAGGTTTTGGGGTTTTAGGATTTATTTTTTTAAAAAAAAAAATTCTACCATTTGCTTGCATGATTAATTGATTAATGCAAATATATGGGTATGGGTATGGGGGCGGCTTATACGGGTTTGGTTTTTTTAGGTCGCTTTGTTTAAGGTCCACCGATCCGATTGGATGTGGATGTGGATCTAGATCAGGCTTCGATGGGAGATCATTTTTGGTTGAGTGGTGGTTCGGGTTATGAATACTTTTAAGATTGGACATCTATCCATTGTTCGGTTGAGATGTGATTCGACCATTTTTCGCCCAAATTTTAAAGGGAAATAGACAAGATGATGATTCCATCTTTAAAATTGGATTTTGAAATTTATAACGATCGTTTAATAATAATTTGAAATGTAATGCATGAATTAAGTTGCGTGATACAAAAATAGTCTTGAAATTGGGTCAAGAACTAATTTTAAAGATATGTACAACCGTCAACCGGAAGTGTGATTGGGTTAATAATGACTACCCGACGTGTTAATCCTAGTCTAATCAAGTTTTATCTGGGCCACCAAACTTGAGTCAAATGGTTGGGTATAATTTATAACTTGACAATTATATCCTACAAATGAGATCATGATGCGTATCATAATCCCAAATGAACAAATGGTTATAAGTTATAACCAAATTAATAGGTAATGAGAAGGTGTCCCAACAAATTGAAGCCTCTTAAGGTCACTTGGTCCGCGTAGATGGGCAAGACCCCTCGGAAGTGGGGGAAAGGGTAAGGGAATTCCCAACCCCAAGTGGCCTCTAGTGAAGCTTGATCCACAACTTTTTGGTTAAAAACTTCAACCCTTAAACCAAATACTACTTGGTTGTTCAACATACTTCATGTGGAGTATAATTTAGTGAACAAAATTTATAAATGCGAAGTACTAACTTCTTGGATAGAGGTTGTAGAGGCAACCATACTTTAAGTATTATTATGAAGTACTCGTAATATATTAGATAAGTTTGAGGTGATTATGGATCGAGTTAGACTTGAGCAAAAAAATATATTGACCAAGCCACACTTCAAAAAAATAGGCCTCTACAAAAGAAGTTGATCACTAGGCCCATTACTCGAGTTGGAACGCAAACTCGAGCAGCGCATACTTGATAAGTAGATAAGCCTAACTAAACATCACACGAAGGAGTGTGGCCAGCTAACCAATTCCACATGCATGCACCATCCCACTTCAAAGCTGTTTGTGTATAAGACTTGAAAAACACAGCAAATGTTACTACTAGTGTAAAAAGTACATTTTCCTACAGAACTACTTAAGCGTCTACAAAAGTAGTTAAGCATCCATATCATCCATCTTTATATACGTAGTAGAAAGTTACAACATACATACTCCTTTCAATCTTTTGTTGCTTCTCCGTTGTGTTGTCGGTGTTTTTTATTTTTTTATATATTAGATTTTAAATAAAAAAAACAAAATTATAGCTGGAGAAGAATAACATCACATAATCTATTAACTATTACTAAAACAAAACATTGCTGACATCATTTACTCTGAAATTATCCTACGTGTCATTCTCACATTAAAATTTTTCCCTTCAATTTAATGTGTGATGTCATCAATTATTAATGATTTTTTTTTTATCTACACTTTTGACTTCAATGTATAAGTGTCTATATAAAATTCAATTAACCAAGTTTCTCTCCTAAATTATAGTTTCACATACCTAATTTGTTTGATGTTTGATCGTGGTTTCAACTTTTTTTTACTTTCCTTAAATGTAAATCATTTTATAAATTCTAATTTTCATATATAATAATGTAATGCGATTGAACATACATTAGAACATTACAAGATATATTAATTCTAACCGTGCATCGCACGGTATAACGTAGTAGAATACTAAGTAACGATTAAGGATAAGTCTATCATGCTTTCTAAATTATAAATTAACATAATAAAATGTTCTTGGGCATTGTACATCAAGCTAGATTATTCTTTTTAAATGAAAATTTGGCTAACTAAGGTTATTGGAGATGAAACCGACCAAATTAATCAAATATGGGTTGATCGATCAATCTCATAGCTAAAGCTGGGTGTGTCAGCCTGCAGGCGGTCCGGCACGGTGGTCGCCAGGCGGGCCATGAGCCGTGCCGCATGCAAGCCAACCAGAAAACAGGCACGGCACGGCCCGTGTGCCGGCCCGGCCTGGCACGCCCAACGACGGCTATAATGTCGTTGCTCTTCTTCCCCTCTAACGGCCATTAACAACTATTTTCCTATAAATACCAAATTTCATTCACTTTCAAATCACAATTCAACTTATCTTTTCTCTTAATCTGTAATTCTCTTAATCTCTTATATTCTCTAATTATTATTTATTAATATCGAAAAAAATTAAAAGTTTGTAACCGTAACTAGTGGAAAGCGTTGAAGCACGGTTGTAAGATCTTTATTATTGTTGTTATTATTATTGTTATTACTTATTAATTAAAATTATTGTTATAATTATTGTTATTAATTATTATTATTGTTATTATTATAATTGTCGTTATTAATTATTATTATTGTTATGGTTATAATTGTTGTTATTAATTATTATTATTGTTTGTTATAATTGTTATTATTAATTATTATTGTTGTTATTGTTATAATTATTGTTATTAATTATTATTATTGTTATTATTAAAATTGTTAATTTGTTAATTATGGCATCACCAAACATGAACAACCCATCATCCTCTAGGAAAGCCCAATTTGTCCGTGCTATAGTTCTAGGGAATCACCTAATCCATTGACCCCCCCCCCCAATTTCGAGTCTGACCAATGACCCCGGAACCACCCCCTAGGTTTTGAGCAATATAGGCATGGTGGTACTTCCGGTTTTCAACCCTATAACATGAATATGCCCGGATTTCCACAAACCCAATTTCCACAAAACCAATTTACAATTCGGTCAATTCCCACCTAATTTCTTTGACCCACTAAATTTTTATACTGGCCAAGGTAACGAACAAGATACCCCAAATGCCTCCGATTCTACTACTAACCAACAAGCCCCCGAATCTACAAACACCCAATTCCCAAACACACAAGAGCAATGGTTAACCGAAAGTGACATGGTAAATATTAAAAGCCGCAAAAGTGATGTATGGAATTATTTTTTCCTAAATAAAGCCCAAACAAGAGCAAAATGTAAAACATGTGGTAAATATACTCGGCCACATCCAAGGCCGGGGCGGGACACTTAAATAGATACTTTAAAACATGTGCACAACCATCTAGTGATCCAACCCAGCCAAAAATTTCCCAATTCCATCCATACGGCTTTACCTACAACTATGAGAGGGATAGGGATGAACTAGGGAAAATGATAGTACACGCCGAACAACCTTTTCTTTTCTCCGAAAGTGACTCACTTAACAGTTATATTAATTAAGCATTATAACCCCAACATAAAAGAATCTCTAGGAAAACCGTTCGTTCCGCCGCCATGAAAAACTTTCTAGAGTACAAAATGCGGTTACAAGACGAATTGAGTAAACTTAATTGTAAAGTGTCTTTGACTGCCGATTCTTGGGATAGTGGTTAAAAATATCACTATTTATGTGTGACTGGCCATTGGGTAGATGATCACTGGTTGTTACAAAAACGAATAATCCATTTCAAAATGCTAGAATACCCCCACACCGGTATTAACATTGCTCACCATTTAATGGAAGCTATAAATGAATACAACCTTAGAGAAAAAATCATGTCAATGACATTTGACAATGCAACCTCAATGACATATACTGCTAATTATGTGAAACAAAATTTAACTGATGTAATATTAGATGGTGACGCACTTCATACTAGATGTGTTTGTCATGTTCTTAACTTACGTGTACAAGATGGAATTAGAGCAATTGGTCCATACTATAACAAAATTAGAGAAGCTATTATGTCTATTAATAGCTCAAACATGAGATACCAATAATGAAAAAGTTTTCTAAGACAACAAAAGATAAGAGCAATAAAAATCAAAACCGATTGTCCAACTAGGTGGAATTTCACCTATGACATGTTAACCAAGACAATTGAATATAAGAATCCTTTAACAATTTTTTACAACGGAAAATTTCCAAACATGCTTTATATGAGGATGATTGGTATAAATGTGAAAGATATATGCAATTTTTACAATTATTATATAACATGACATTTTGTTTTTCTTCTGTTTATAATCCTTGTGCTCAAAACTTTCTTTCAAATGCATGTTTACTCGCTCATCTTTTCGATGATCATCGCAACCAAAGTGATTATGATCAATATCTTCCTGCAACGGAAACAAAGTGGCGTAAATATTATACTGAAATTCCTTTAATTTATATTTTTGCTTCCATATTAGATCCTAGGCAAAAGTATGAAAATACATTTTTGTTAGTTGACATTTATTTTCAATGCATGTTTATTGACGATAATGTAGAAACCTATAAGAGTAATGTGAAGGATTAATTTTTTGCTTTATATGGAGTTTATGAAACCAAATATGGCACCGTTCCTCGCTCTGGACCTTCCCAACCATCCAAAAAACGTAAGTAAAAAGGTCAAGCTTTCATTTTCACAAGCTACTAACTTGATTTCAAGGTTTTCAGGTGATTCATCAATAAGGAGAACGCAAAGCGATGTCTCGGAGTTGCAAATGTACCTGCGTTACGACTTCACCAAGGGCATGGATGACGAAGAGATAAACAGCCTTGACCTCCTTGCATGGTGGAAACAACAAAGCTCGAAGCATCCAACTTTGGCGGCAATGGCACGAGACATTCTTGGTATCCGAGTCTCCTCCATTGCCTCCGAACGAGCTTTCAGTGCATCCGTGAGAGTTTTAAATGATAGAAGAACAAGTCTAAAACCCGAAACACTTGAAATGTGCGTGTGTTTCAAAGATTGGTTGGATGCTGAAAATCGCTCACAGACCGTACTTACGACGACAACGACAACGATGAAGGAACCTCCGCTTTCGACCGTTCGAGTTCGGCTAGTTCCCAATCTATGCAACTAGCCGATGACCTTGAACGCGAAGACGAAGAAGAAGAAGATGAAGAAGAATAGATGAAGAATAGACAATTTTTGTATATTGCACGATTTTTATCATTATCCAATTTTTGTTTAATATCCTTGTACTATTTTTATCATTATTATCATCATTGTACAATTTTCAAGTAATAATAATATGAAGTATGCATTATTCACATCCAAAGTCCAATTTGCCTTTTTTTCCCGTTAAGTTATAATTTGTAAATTAATATAACAAAAAAAATTATAATAATTAATAATACAAAAATAAATATAATAAATTATAAACATTAAACTATAAAGTAATAGTATAAACTAAATATAAATATAAATATTAAATATAATAAATAATAATATATAAATATTAAACTTAATTTATTTTAGAAAAATAATAGTAAAAAGTATAAATTGTAATGTATAAACATTAAAAAAAAACCAAAGAAGCATTCTTCTCAGCAGCACGGTGGCAGCATGCAGCCAGCACGACACGAGCCCGCTCGGCACGTGGGCCGTGCCGTGGGCTGGCCTGCGATTTTGGGTGGCAAGGCACGGCACGCCACGCCACTTCAGGCACGGTGGCACGGCATGGTACGCCGGAGACCGTGGCTCGCCAGGCATGGCCAGCGGCGGCCCGGCACGGCACGTTGCCCACCTTTACTCATAGCTATACGATAGTAAGATTCAGAAAGAAAATTCAATATTGACAAAGTATAGACTATAGATAAAATTGTTTAATAAGGTAAAATCACATTTCAACTTATATAATTAATCGTGAGTTGATCGACTATATTTTATTGTTTCCCCTTATCTTGCAACAATTGAACAAAAAAAGTAGAGGTGTCATTATCTTATCCGTTAAGATAAATTTATGTTGTTTCAGATGATTTAGAGAGAGAATGAATTGAGTTTTTATTTAACTATCCATATATCATCTTTCCCACATTGTTATTTTGTTGTTTTAGTATATAAATTTGGTATCATACAAATTATTACCGTATATATTTTACAACTATTTTTTTAGCATTACAAAAACTATGCATTAGATATAAGTGTACACCCAACCTTAGCAAGTTTATCAAACAATATTTAGGTACAATCATACAAAGCTTAGACGGAAGAAATGTTAAGCATGGTCAACAATGTACTATATATAAAATAAATTTGTACGTTAATCTATTCCATTTTTGTAGATTAAAATTCATTTGAAGTGAGGAAAAATATAAGAGAATCTCCACTCCCAATTCCAAAGAGCCTTTGGCGCTACGATCTTAAACTCTTAAAGTCATGAGAATAAGACCTTGTTGAATTCACCTTATTTCAGGACCTTATTCCTTTCTAACTTTTCTTCACTTGCACTATTTGAAAACGCATATAGAATACACAATTTTGACTATGAATATAGAAATATGGGCAATAACGGTGACTATAACCTTGTTTAATTCGCCTTATTAAGGAGTAACTATATCTGAAGTTTTTTTCACTTGCACTATCCAAAAAATTCACGCAATAAAATACACAACTTTGACCACTAATACAGAACTAGCGATAACGGCCCTCGAGGTGTTATAGCCTAACCCATAACGAAACTTATTCTCTTTCTTGGTTGCTAAACAAAAGCAAGGCTTCCTCCCCTTCCCAACACAGACAGCACACACAAAAATAATAAGAGAGAGAAACACGAAACTCTCCACACACCCCAGAAGAGCAACATTCATACCATAAGAGAGAGAAAAACTCGACGATTTTTTGAAAATATTATTGCGGCTGCTTCAATTTCTACTCTCCAAGATCAATCAATTCAATCAAAATCTTTATTAATGCAATCAAATGAATTTGCTGTTTAATCATAATTTTCATTTATTTCTTAACTCCTTTTGATTCGATCTTTTTTGGAAAAAATTTAAAGAGAATTGAAAAAATTTCTTTGGGATTGTGCTTTTTTCTCAAAGTGTTGAATAATTCCCACTTTATTCCTCTTTTTTATAAATTTTGAAGAGATTCTTCATTTTCAATTTGGTATTTTTACTCCTATTTTTGAAAGAATTTTCGAATTAGGGTTTCATTTTATTTATTTATTATTTTAATTTTTTGTTTGTTCTGGTAGAAGTAGTAGTACTGCTGCTGTTGGTTTTTAGTTCGGTAAGAAATTTCGGAAGAATCTTAGGTTTCTGTCGGATCGGCAGCTGAAATTACGGAGGTGTGAGAATATTTGGACTTTGATTTAGGGTTTGTATTGATCATAGAAATCACTAGTAGTTGATAACTGAAGATTACCGAGCTTCCAATTGTTGAGCTGCTCAATTTTATTGTCGAATTTGAGTTTCGACTTCAGTGGATTTAGTGCTGATTCTGTTGATGAGCATTGTTTAATCTGGGCATGGAAGAGTATTGTAGTTATAAAATCAGGAAATAGAGAGGATCATCGAGTTTTTTCGATACTTTGATTCGATTCAAGCTTGTTGCAGTAGCTAAAGAGTTGATTGTTGGAAGATCAATTGGATAAAATTTCAACTTCCATTTGATTTTGGTAGCTTTGACCCTGTTATACTACCCCTTTTGATAGGGGATGATATTGTGTTCTGGGATTTGAGAATAAGGTGGAAGATAGAGAGAATCATAGTATTGCTCTGTAGTTGCCATCGTTTTTTCTGAAGTATCCAATTGGGGCTGTTAACAATCTAACACCAGTTACATAGTTCCGGGGATAAAAATCATTGACGATCCTTTGAAAACTCGGTTGCTGAGCTCATTTAGCATTGGCTTTGAGTTTGTTGTGGCAAGTGATTTGTGTGAATTTGAATTTTGAGTTGGTTGGCTGAGAGTCTGAGACTGAGTTTATGGAAGTATATTGAAGCTGGAAATGTATGTGGGGACATGGTGCATGGACAAGAGCTTAGTTGTTGGTTTGGTCCCTGTTTGGAACATTGCCTTAGCAATAGCTTACTAGTCCGAGTGTTTGCGCTCGCAAGGGGTGACAGATTGCTGAGGCCCTTGGAAGTTTTGCAATGTCTCGTTGCTATCCTTTCCCTCCTCCAGGATACGAAAGGAAGCCTAAAGCAGATGGCAACGTTCACACTGATGTGATTAAAAAGGTTAATACCAATGCTCTTTCAATTGTCTTTGATCCATTTTGTTCATGTGATGTGACACAATATGACAGACTATGTGCTAATATGAAACTTTTTACTGGCACTTATTATACCGTCCTCTGCGTTTGTGTGTGCGTGTGTGTTGTGGGGGGAGGGGGGGGGGGTTACAATGCAGCACAAGTGCCACTCTAGGGATTTTACTCTGTTCACTTTTTAGTGGGATGGGAAATACTGGTATACTGTATTCCATATTTGTGGTTCCCTGTAATGAATTGATACTGGTGATTAGTAGTCATGAAGACTTAGTTAAGAAATTGGAATCACCTTAACCCCGTCAGTTCTGCATATGCCATGTAGGAATTTTGGCATTTTTGCTAATAATTACTTCGTATATGCTATAGACAATCATGATTAGATATGCAAACTCAACACTCTTAGTTTCGTTGACTTTTGTATAGAGCCTATTCTTGTGGAGTACATTTATTTTAACATTTTATTGATTTTCTTTTGCATGATACATGATTTGTTTCTTAAAATTTTATTTAAGAAAATGACATCTGCTGCTCCCCATTTGACAACTTGATTGATGTTGACCTTGACACCTGAGGTTGCTATATGAGAGTGTCCATCTTCATTCTGCTCTATCACTATTTTTGCCCCTGTGGATTTAATGTCTTGGAAGTAGTGGATGATTCTTGAATGCAGATTTTATATAATTAGACATTGGAAGTGGAGTTATGAGTTCTGGTCACTTATTTGTTTATAATCACCAGGGTATATGTTTACATACTATGTAGAGGGTGTTGACAAACTGGAACTTAACTAATTAGATTTATAAAGTGTACTCCAATCTTACCAATGGTAAAAGAGTAAATATCACAATATAAACAATTCCTAGGAATCTAAGTTGCAAAATATGATTAATTGAAACTATCCATCATAGATAAAGTTGGTGCATTCTTAATAGATAGTTTGCCTTTCATTCCACATATTAGTTGAAATATGATTTGGATCATATTGTTGTCTGTGTAACTAGATACTATGGTAGAGTAATAGAAACATGTCCTAATTGTATGTGTTTTCAAAAGGTTCCCAACTTTTAGGGTTGGAGTAGTCTGAAATAATATACGCCTTAAACTTGAAGACTGGATTCTGAAATCCTAAATCTGAGCTTTAGCATTAAGCCAAAAGCTAGTTGTGCAGGCTCATGATAAGTAAGATTTTCAATATATTTCTGACATTCATTCCAAGTATTTCACGGCTAGCCAAGGTATTAATTAGTGGAATTATCTGGACTAAAACATCAATTTTCGTTTTCAAGCCAAAACCTCTGTACTTGTCAAACTTATTCAATTCTGCTCCACTTAAATAATCTTAGCATTTACTGCTTAGAGAATTTACCTACCTTTACAAGCTGCTATGTGCAACATTCTCAAGGGAACTTATGAATCAGTGACCTATCCTTATTTGGTGAGCCAACTTGAGTCTATAGTGCTTAAAAGTGTTTTATACTGTGGGCTTCTCCACTTTGCAATCTCCATTTGATCTTTTTGTTTAGGTTTAGTTTGTCCTTGTATTTATTTGTAATCCAATTTTGATACATGTGTTGCGGATTTATTATTGTTTATGTCAGATATAATTGAAAAGTAAACTTCAAGATCCACCTTACATTGAACACCCTAGAAAAATAAATAGATTATCTCACCCAATTAATCAACTCTAGATTTTTCATTGCAAGTTATCATAAGACTTAATCGATGACTGCATACTCCTTTTAAAGGAGTTCTCAATGATCTCGCACTCAAAGGTTACTGCTTGATCTCAGCCTTGACCAAACCAAAGCCTACTAGCTGCAGTTGCAAATATGGTTTTAAGACATCATATGTGTTTTACTCTGTTTGTGTTCACAGTTGTTGTTACATAGCTGCACTTAAAAACTTGACATGAACTTTCTTAGAAGAGCTGGATGGAGATAGGCTTTTGTAAAGTAGTGCTTATAGATTGTTGTTGCTTAGTAAGTGTTTACTAGGAAATTTGCTTGACTTTCTTGAGGGGCAAAATTTGCTAATGCCTGTTTTTCTGTAATGATATAAAATTTTGCGTTTACCTTTCTTGTGAGTAACATTGGTGTAATTTTTGCACATAAAGTATACACTTTGTATCAACCATTGTTGTTAGAGTCATCGTCCGAATCATAGGATTATGATCCAATTTTAGCCAAAAGATCAGAATTGGAAGTAGAATCGACATCGCTGCAGGATCAGTTTGGATCGGACGGTCCTTTTTTTTACACTTGGATCGTTGTTGGAGGACGATCCTGCTTGATCATACTGTTCTTCTTATAAAAATGAGCCCAAAGCAACCAATTGTTCTCATAAGCCTAGAAAATGACTACCCAACTACTGTAACTATAAATTCTAGCATATTAAATGCTTGAAAGATGTGTATATAGTTATCTGGTTTTACTGATCCAATCCTACTCCCCTCACCAGTCCAATGTGGGATCCTGATCCTGACAACCTTTGTATCTACAATGCATAAATAGTTGTAGTTGAGGAGACCACACTGCTTAAAAGAACTCTATGCTGCATTGTATGCTTAAAAGAACTCTATGCTGGACTGTGTGCTCTTTTATGACAGATCAAGTGTTTAGACAAAATGAACTTCATTTAAGCGCTTTTTTTCATAACTGCTACTATTCCTGATGATGATGTTGGGCGTTAGGTTTAGTGGCTTCAAAAGTACAGATTTAATATCTCCGTCTTAATGTCATTTTTAAGTTAACTGTTGGAATTATTATTATATGATGTTAATATGATTTCTTATGCAATTATTAGGATTTTGGTGGATATTTTTCATCATGGAGATAATGCATAGGATAATTATGATTAGAAATTTATTGTGGTTTATTGGCTTTCAGTTTGTTTGTTTTAGAGGGGGGGTGGGGGGAAGGAAGTGGCTTCTAGTTTAGTTTTGCACTAATTAGGTTTACATTCGACCTCATATTCTCACTTTTTCTGTAATAATTACTAAAGGTCATGATTCTCATGAAGCCAATTCTGCTTGATATTTAGACGGTTGCACCCTGTTCATAGTTGCGGCCTAGATCCTCTTTGGACTCCAAAATATGGTTACGAATATTGTAAAATGATTGCCTAGTGCTGCTTTAGTTTGATTAAGGTTTTGACTAATTGATTGATTGTATTGGTTACGGATATTGTAGCCGACCCCACTTATGGGATAAGGCTTTGATTGATTGATTGATTGCCTAGTGCTGCTTTATTTTGTTAAGAAATCTGTATATATTTAAAAAAAAGAAAAGAAAAGAAAAGAGATTATAAATATATTTTGATATATTAATTAATGTAATGTATTGTAAGAAATATAGTTTAAAGGCACAAAAAAGGTTCTTAAATCATTATATGTGAAAATAATTACGAGTTTTATGAGTTGCTGACCAAAGTATTTCACATCTGAGCTAGACTCAATTTGGCGGATTTTGACCAAGTTGCTCAATAGCTTGGGAGTTGTCGTGCCTCACTATTACCCTTAGGTGCAAGTACATGGCCTTTTGTGCTATTAGTTAAGATTTTTATCTTAACATTTTTTTTCTTATCTCAAGTCTCATGAGTGGAAGAGTGGGATCTCATGGAGAGGTTAAACGAGGTAGAGGGATACCGAAAATGACTTGGTTTGAAGAGTTAGGAAGGATATGAAGCATATGGATTTGCATGAGAATGTGGTATTTAAACGTAAGGGATGGAGGAGGAAGATATTTGTGGATGACTATACGGAATAATCAATTTTGGTTTATGTAGCCGACCCCACTAATGGGGTTAAGGCTTTGATTGATTGATCTCAAGTCTCATGTGTGGTTGAATGCTAACAATGCTTGGTTATATCATTGCTTGATCATTACGTATGGCCATTCATTTATCTGTTTGGCTGATGGCCCATTTAGTTGTATCTTTGGGTTCATGGGTTGAGTAAGGTGACGTAGGGGATGATGGACATACTTAAAAAGCTGGGGGCCTGGTGAGTGCAATTTAGATGCTAGAGGATATTTTCAAATCAATATATGATGCGAGCTCAAAATTTTTGAATGTTTATGATAGATTAGGGAAGGTAGCTTGTGGTAGTTTTTGACTTTTTGATTAGGCGTATGTTACTTAACATTTATTCTGACGAAAATTACTGAATGTTATACAGCATGTGTAGATTTTTTGCTTCATGGCTTTGTGTGCTGGGTCTTCTTAGTTGTTTGAGTTTTGTTGATGATCTTTCCACTGGAAATAGATAGCAATTTGAAGTACTCCTTCAAATTAATGAACTGAATTGTTAAATTAGCCCTGACAAAACTTTCCTAAAATGATTGGAAGATTTTGTAAAAAGAAAGTGTTGTCCAGTTTGAGAAACACAATGCTGATCCTTGATTGATTATACCTAGGGTTGCTCTTTTTTACTTGCTTAATTGAATACGTAAGGCACGTCGTTAGGTGTTTACAGGATTAGTGAGGCTTTGGCTTTAGTCCCATGGCCTGAGTATGAGTTTTTGAATGGTAAGACCGTAATTAAGATCATTTAAAGGATATAAGCTCATTGCATAAATCCATCAGGCTGCGACACGAGACCTTGATCAATATCATTTAAGGATAGAGTCTGATACCTGAGCATGAATATTTTAATGGTTAGACCACGATCAAGATCAGTTGAAGTATCCGTGCTCATGAAATAGAGATATCAGGTTTAATCCCTAAAAAAGTAAATAATCTGGTATGAAGAATTGAAGATGTTAAGTGGGGCTTTTAGGGGATATTGGCATGAAGATGTGCTATTGACTTTCATCTGATGCTGCTTTAATGAATTTATAATAGTCAACTTGTGCATTTTAGCCTCCCGGTTATAAATCTTATAATTGTTGAAATTTCAACTTTGCCTCTCAGTTTATTTCCCGTTTTAAGTGGCTGAATGTACTATTTATTTTGGTGCATAGACTTTAGGCATATGTTGCCTTTGGGAAAGTGTGATGGTTGGAATTGGATGTTATCAGGGTCTCTATTGAGTGTAGGTGGCTTTTGTTACATTTGGATTCAGTATGCGAGTTGATAATTTTTAAAAAAACAATGACATTTCTACATGTAAAAGTGCTATTAGTCCCAGCATGGTTTATTGAAACTAATTAAAGACGTTTTTGTAGTTTACATTGTGTTCATTGAGGTTAGTTCATTTTCATACTTGCCAGGAGCATTGGCATGTTTGAGTAAACTTGGAGAAATAGGTATTTATGAGTTCTTTGGTGAATCCATCATTTGTGAAAATAACATTTTTGCACTTTAAGTTGCCTAACAATGCACATGTTTGTGTGAATTAGTTGGTTGATGTTCTTTTATGCTTATTGGTCACTCTAGTGTCGAGCAGGTCTTTCTTTGAGGATTCTTCAAACTGTCAAAATAGATTGTAATATTGTAAACGATATACATTTTCCTTCTTTAATATTTGCACCATTTGGACTTTTACTTTTGTGATTTATACACAAGGGAAAATAAAGTCCCGTGGGATCTTGTTAGATTTATCTTGATATATGTTTTTAAAATATCACACCCCCCCCTTTTTTTTTTCCTAAAAGATAATTAAATATATTCATGGTTAAAGTTATACATTAAAGCGTAAAGCTTCATATGTTGCAATTAAAAAATAACGAAAAAGTATATATCTTTGGGAAGACAATTTGCTTTTTGTCATACAAAAAACTGTTTCCTCATTGTGTATAATTAAATATGGAGAGCCAAATAGATAAATAGAAAATTGAGAAAGTGAAAGGATGACTATCTTGTTCTTGTAGCACGAAATAACCTTTTTTGGGAATGGATATGGCTCTATCTTCCATATTGTTTGTTTGGTTCCATTTTCTCAAAAGGGCAACTTGGCAACATGATTTCTATCTCTTGTTGCATAAGTCTGCTTACAATACACTTCCTCCATTTCTTTATAGTTGCAACACACACTTTATCACGGTATTTAAGAAAAGTGGACCTCACACGATATAATACACTTAAAATGGGGTTAAGAGGTTGTTAGAAGTATAATCAAGTGGGCCATGAGCTTTAAATAAAGGTAATAGTACAATTTTCACCATTAAATCTTTCCTTTTATAGTGTGTTGCAACTATTGTGACATTTTCATTTTAGGGAAGTGTTGCAACTATAAAGAAACGGAGGAAGTATATTTTTTTATATGTTCAGCATACATATACTGTCTTTGGTCTGCTCATGATTGTAAGTTATAATGCTGTCGTATATTCTGATTCTTATTCTGGGGTTCACAGTATCGTTGGTTATTAATACATTACTTCGGTTGTTTTGCTAATTACGCGTTTTCTGCTCTTTTTGGTTTCATTGGTATATATTCAGTGGGTAATATGGAAATTGAATGGCTCATGTTTGAATACTTCACTCACCTCATGGTTTTGACTTCCAAGGTATATAAATTCAAGCTACTGATGATTTTATGTATATGACCCTACTGGCTAAAAGCCTAAATCCAGTGCAACAGATTAATACTTGTCTAAATGAACATGCAAATACGGTGCAGTTTATGCAAGGTGAATCAAATCACTGTTTTTGCATTTTATACCCTGATTGCAAAGATGAATTTTATTCCTTCCCTTTGTTTGGGGAAAATGGTAATTTATGTAATTCAATGGACCTAAGGTAGAGCAGTGTGCTGCCAATGGAGAATAAGCTGTTCACCTGAAACCTGAAGGTATATTGTCCGATGTGATCCCATCGTTATGTGAACTGTAGTAGCAGGAAGTAGTGATTTTTACTTTTTAGTGTGTTCTGACCTTTAGCTGTTTTAAAATTATCACATTTTTCTTATTTTACTCCTGATTCCTGATTTTTTTTTTACTCATGTCTTTTGTGTTCTCTCTCTACATTTCTCTTTTATTATAGCTCTTCGGCCTCTTCCCTTATGTGGTTCATTTCCAATCTTGTTGGTGGAAATTACATATGGTTTTTTCATATCTATTTTGAGTTCCCGGGCCTTGTGATAAGGGTTGGGCTGATGCATGGCAGTTATGAAGGATTCTTGTGTTTTCTGTCTTGATTAAACTATTCTGTTTGAATAATTGATTACTTTTGTCTCCCTGTTTTTTATGCTAAAATCTTTATGCTGGCATTTGGTTTCAAAGTTTGTCGATATGTTGGATAAAAGGATTTGTCTCTGAATTATGAAAATTTAAATGGGCGTTAGGAGTGTTGTCGACTTGCCTTGGTCTTGTGTAGATTTCTTGATTGATTTGCTGGCGAAATTTTTTAAATCTATCTATATCATGCTGCAATGATCTTGATTGGAGTTGATTCATTGTCGACTTTTTCAGGAAAAGCACAAAGAAAAGAAGCACAAAAAGGATAAGAAAGACAAGGAGAAGAAAGATGGAAAAGAAAAACGTGAGAAAGAAAGAAGTGATGAAAGACATAGAGAAAAGAAAGACAAAAGGGAGAAACGTAGAGACAAAAAGAAAGACAAGGAGAAGGACCGAGATAAAGATAAACATAAAAGCAATCTTCTTCCAGTTGAGAAGAAGATTGTGGGTTCAGCTGACAGCCATGTTTATAACCCCTCCGAGAAGAACAAGGAGAGGGAAAGTGACAAAAATGCTATTTCGGCTGAGAAGAAAATTGGTGGGCTTTCTGCAGTTCACAATGGAATCCCAGTTAGTAAGAACAATCACCAGATCTATGAGGCTAAGAGTTTTAATCATGCCTCAGATCTGGGCAGGAAGAGCGTGGACGAAGAAAGGAGAACAATCAATCAATATCCTAATAAGAATATTGGTGCAGAGAGAAGGAAGGATGGAGTTGTCAAGTTGGATTCAAAGAGTGGTGGATCTCTCCTGGATTCAAAGGAAAGGACCAAAGAGAAACCCACTGTTGATGAAAGGATGGATGGACGAGGTGCCATTGGTGATGCCAAATCTGGTGGAAGTGCTTTGGTCTCCAATCCTGTTGGAGTGGTTCAAAACAGAGTGGGAGGAATTGTCAGGCCCGTGGATAAGAAGATTGAGCAGAAAGTGGATGGGAAAGGAAAAAATAGGGAGAAAGAAGGCGGTGATAGAAAAGGAGAAAAAAGAAAGGAAAAAGACAGAGAGAAATCAGTTCTCAAGGACAAGGACAGGAAAAAGGAGAAGAAGAAAGACGAGATAGCTAAGGCAACAACTGAACAGAAGCAAATTCATGTGACAAGAATGAAAGATGGCAGTGATGATCACATGCAGAAGCCAAGCACAAAGGACGCAAACAAGAAGGATATTTCAGGTGTCCAGAGTGTTGGGTCTCAAAACAATGCAAAGGATAGCAATTATCACGCTACTACTATGAATAATAATCTCAAGAAACGAAAGGACATTGGTCTCAATGGAATTTATGATGGTGAGCTCTTTCTCAGCATTGTTTTTGACTGCTTGTGGAAATTGCTTCATTAGATAGATTAATTTTCTGTTAGATGTAGGTGGTGGTTAAAATTGAAAAGAAAGATAAAGGGATCCAGCTCCTAGGACTATCACAGTCTAGTCCTATTCTTTGGACTGTGAAAGATTGGGAATAGTGCTCAAATGTGAATTGCTACAGTACTACTAGTTAGATTTATCATGCCAATGATGTATGCACAATCTTGAATTTTCCTGTAGCTTATGTGAATGCTACTTATGTTTGGGTTTATCTCAACAGAGTTTGTCACTCGGCCTAATAAGCTGGCAAGAACAACAGCTTCTCCCCATCCCTTGACGGAAAATGGAAGGAGCTTGGAGCCTTGCCAGAATTCTGCTGCATTTGCTCCTGTTACACAGCGCCCTCCCACGAATAGTATAGTGGAACATAATCTTTCTCATGATGATACACAGAGGCCAGCCATGAAAATTAAAGTGGATGGCAAGGAATGCAAGATAAATGGCACAGTTGCTGAACCGTCTACACAGTCTTCTCGAGAAACAACTGCAAAAGCAGAACGGAAATCTGTAGCTCCTACAAAGCCACCTCATCCAGATACCAAGTATCTTGACCAGGTGCTTTCAGTACCTAAATTGGATGAATGGTCTGGTTTTGATGACCAAGATTGGCTGTTGAACAGCAATTGCTCCCCAACAAGGAAGCCGGAGGTCAAATCATCTGGGATCAATGAGATGCCGCAGGTATGGGCAAGAGCCTTGTGGTTAGAACCAGTAGATGTTTATGCTTTGCCATATGTTATTCCGCACTGATTGGCTCCATGAATTGTGGTTGTGGTTATTCTTTACCCCTGCTCTATGAGGAGGAAATCCTAGCCATGCTCGGAAATATTTGCAGCAGAGGCTGTGAGATTGAAATTCCAAATTTTCTGCCTCAAAAGCATGCTCCTTGAAGCTACGAATTTCGTAGATTGGACTGAGCTCTTCCTGCATGTTCATTAGCATCTAGTGTGGTTATTTTTCCAGAGCTTTCTCAAATTGAAGGAAGCTGTCGGTTGTGTCACACCTGCCTCAGCTATGATGCTGCTCGCTCCAAGAGCTAGGGTTTGATGGCAATTTTAGGGCCTCCTGGCACGAGATAAATTGATTCTTTCATAAGGGGAGTAAAATCAGCTTCCCTAAAAGCTATAGTCGCTACGGTTGGGAGAATTGTTTAGATGGGAGATGTATTAGCTTGTGAAAATATTTTTGTTAGAGCAATGGGAGCCTTTGCTAATCTTTTCAGTGTAAGAGAAACTTAGCTGTGGTGCATGCACCCACCGATTTTGATTTGTAACATAATACTCTTAATTTACAGAGAAATGTAACATAGAAGGAAATGGGAAGAGGTAGCTTGATATATACTTCGTATATATATACTACGTATGTTTTTTCCTCGTATGCTTAGGATCATTTAAATTGATTTGAACTTTTGAAGTGAGCCAGTTCTCTAGCAAAATATCAATGGTAAAATAGCTACTTTGTAACAGAGTAACAGTATATTTCCTTTGTTTTTTTAAGTGTTCCATTGGGATTTTTTGCATTAGTCACTTTTACTAATTTTTGTGAATTATAAATAACGAAAAAATATATGGTCTTATAAGTACTTGTTGGAATCCTCTTAATGAGTAGATTATTAATATTCAATTATTATAATGATAATTAAAGATATTATTGATTTAAGTTTTGTATCGACATGTGTGTCAAGCTTCATTAGGACACTTGAAAAAAAACGAGTAAATCCAAGTTACTCAAATCGAGTAACATGAATTGTTACTCAAAGGGCAAAAAAAAAATAAAAAAAAGTTATTACTCAAGGGGGCACGCTGGTAATTTCGGCTGGCGTTAGTAAGGGCAAAATTGTTTGTACTGGGTTCAGCGTAGAAACGGAGGGTTTGCTCCCGATGGTTAGAAGAAGCGATTTTCAATGGAGCTCACAAACAAAGTTTAATGGGGAAATTTAGTGGAAGTAGACACTACACCCCTGCCATTTGGGGTTAACCTTGCCATTCTATTCTCCATTTGTTCTTAGGGTTTTCGTTTAATCCGAAGGTGATGACGGGGAAGAAGATGATGATGGTGATCCGGTGACTTATCGGGCTTTGTCGTTACCCTTCACCTGCAGATTCATGCGCCGTCGCTCCGTCGTAAGTTGCTTTGTTGGGCTTCTTGGTGAACCTTTCGCTGCAGAAATCGTACACCCGCTCTTGCTTCTCCGCTTTCTTTCACTTAATTGCCGGTCGTGGTTGCTTTGTTGGGCTTCTTGGTCAACTTTTGCTTTCTCTCTGCTGGACGACTAGTAAACCCAGTGCTAAACTCCGTCAACAAACCGTTAGCATTAGAATATTATCAATCGCGTTTTTCAAGGCAAATATTTATCACATTGCCATTTGAGCAACAACCTTTATTACTCGTTATGAGTAACCTGGGTCAGCTCGAAAAAAAACGGATGGAGTATTTTGTATTATTATTTTTTCAGAATGGAATATATATTTTATTCTTACCTTATGTTTAAGGTTGGGTCAGCTCGATAAAAACGGAGGGAGTTTAAGGTTGTGTTTGGTTTGGGATAAAATCATTAGTGTAAAATTGATAATTACATTGTCTTATGTTGAAATTATGTCTAGTGTAATAATTTTTTATATTATGAGCATAGCAGTGTTTCTATTACTCATACTCACTTTTTTTTGAGGCAATACTCCCTCTGTTTCTTGTTGTTCTACACACTTATGTTTTAAGATGTGTTATATTATGCGCCTAGCAGGCTAGCAGTGTATGAAAGATGTGTTCTGCTTAGCATTGTCAAAACGGTTTGACTGTTCGGTTTTAGTTCGGTTTGAAATCGGTTCGGTTTGAAACGGGTCGATTTGATATCGGTTTAATTGGTCGGAGGATCGGTTAAAATTATTATCGGTTTGGTTCGGTTTCGGTTTATTTTTTGTCGGTTTTAATTCGGTTCTGCTCGTAAACAATTCGGTTTGTGAGCAGTTTGGTGCAAACGGGTTGCGGTTTGTAAATGGTTTGATGTAAATGGTGTGGTGTAAACGGTTTTTAACCGGGTTCAAACGGTTTTGAATTAGAAACGGGTCGGGTTAACAATGTTTCGGTTCTTTTTCAGTTCGGTTTAGAACTGGTTCGATTCGTTAACAGGTTCGGTTCTTATATGGTTTAACATTTATTTGGATCGATTCCGTTTCGGATTTACTAAAATACGGTTCATGTCGGTTTTCGATTTTTAATCGATTCGGTTCCAATTTGTTAAAGACGTACACAAATATTTCTTTTTCAAGCTAGAATTTTGGAGTTTCTTTTTCAATTGATAAATTGATTAATAATATTCTTTACTATAATTTTTTGAAAGATCAAAGGATGCAATCTTATTCTAAAAATTTGGAGAATTACAATAATACATCATAAGAATTTTTTTTTTGAGAACATACATCATAAGAATTTGACTAGGCCAACTTTGGTACAATATAATTCTGAACAAAATATGAAGCACTTTGATGATGTCTTTTAAAGAAAAGACAAAGATTATTTTTGCTTAATCCATAATTACATAAAAAAAGTTAGGGAAAACAATGATGTACGCCGTAGTAAACATATGTGAATAATTAGATTTCATTTAAAAATTCTTTTAACGTGATTTTAATCTTCCCTTTATAGTAAGCGATTTGTAAACGTTCGATTTATAAGCGATTCAGTTTATAAACGGTTCGGTTTGTACGTGGTTCGGTTTATAAACGGTTCGGTGCAAACGTCTTGCGGCTTGTTAACGGTTCGGTGTAAACGGTATTAAACCCGATTCAAACGGTTTCGAGTTGGAAACAGTTTCGGGTTAGAAACGGTTCGGTTCTTTTTCAGTTTGGTTTAGAATTGGTTTGGTTCGTTAACGGGTTCGATTCTTATACGGTTTAAAATTATTCGGATCGGTTCGATTTCGGGTTTACTAAAATACAATTCGGGTCGGTTTTCGGTTTTAAAAAATCGGTCTTTAATCAGTTCGTTTCCCATTTGGATCAGTTGGTTTCGAATAGCTAAACGGTTTCGGTTTGAAATTTGACAATGCTAGTACTTCTGCCAGAAAGTACTAGCATTGTCAAATGTACGTAGGGATGTCAATGGGGCGGATGTTGGCTTTCTCATCCCAATTCTCACCTAAAATTTTCATTCCCATCCTCGTGCCAGGTCCAACATTCATCCCCATCCTCGTGCCAGGTCCAAAATTCATCCCCATCCATGTACCGACAGGTACAATTACAAAACCATCCCCACCCTACCCTCACCTAATCCCCACCCAACACCCGCCTAATCCCCGCTTCACATATACACAATCTTACATAACTAATATAATATACAATTCTTGTAAAAAAAAATCATTGTCAATACTACACACTTTTTTGTTTATAATATAAGTGTATTACAAAGTATTATATTTACTACTTTATTTTACATGATATTTTTTATATATATAAAATAGTATAAAAGTATATAATTTTGTTTTTAAAATTATATAGATGTGGGTATGGGGTGAGGATGAGATGAGTACGAAGGGGGCAGGGCGGGTATGAAGTGGGGCGGGGCGGGGATGGTGCAGGTACAACCTAAAATCCACCTCTGCCTCATCACCCATGGCGGGTATGATTTTTATCCCCATCCCCGCCCCACCACCTGCTAAACCGAGACCCATCCCTACCCCATTGGGGCGGGGATGGGGCGGGCCGGTCTCCTATTTGACCCGCCCCACTGACATCCCTAGTTTTATGGTTCAATTCAAGCATCGTCATCGTATACTTGACACAATCGATCTACTTTTGTAGAGGACATAGGAGATGAACAATCAAGTGGTTGGGGGTTCGATTCTCATCTCTCCATTTTGTTTTAGAGTGAAGGGTCCCCTTCGTATCATACTATTTTAAAAATTAAAAAAAAAAAATCAAATCAATCTACTTTTGGATGGTTCAAAGGAATATATATATTGGACAACATCTAACTTTTTAGCTCCATGATCTTCTTTTGAGTTTGGTTCTTGGTCTTATGTACTAGCTCATTACCCTGCTAGAATAGTGCCGTTTGGTTATGATGAATAAGTATGGGTAAATCATAGTAGACAATAGTAGTCCTTTAAAGATTCCCTGTATATATATGAATGTATTCATGGACACTTTGTTTGACGATTATTAAAAGCACTAGTCTTTTTCTTCTTCTTCTTAAAAAAAAAAAAGAAAGAAAGGAGGGAAAAACTGTATATATTTAAGTAATAAATATTTCATTAAGTTACTTAGTAATGAAGTTTCACCTAGAACATCGTACGGAGTAGGTGAAATTTATCCGCCTTGTAGGAAGGGTTAGGTTAATTAGATGCATGATCCCCGCATTCATTTGCTGAACACTAGAGATCTACCTGCCTTTCATTTATTCATCTTGTCGACATGATCGAGAATAAACCAATATTATTGTAAAAACCTTATACTATACAAGTTTAGAACATAAAATTGTCTACTTTTTGATTGAGTTGTTTTTCAATAGAGTTTATATGAATGCATATGCTTATTTTAAATCATGTAGATGACTATTGATTAATCATGAATCCATATAAACTTAGGATACATATAAATTTCATAAGAAAGAATATGTATGCACTCCATTTAACAAGTAACAACTTAATAATATAAGTATAACTATATAAAAAATCTTAGCAAGGTCTCAAAAAAGCAATACAATACAGGAGGCAACATATATATATATATATATATATATAGCTAACTACAACGACAAATATCGAATTCAGGTTAAACTCCAAAAGAACAATGTGTATAAGACAAGACCTCGAATAAAGGTGCCAGTACAAGTTAGAAATTTAGATCTTGATATAATGATATATATATAAATTATGTACAGATAATTCACGTACAAATTAGTACCTTTTGTTGCTGTCATGTTACTTGAAAAATGGTATCCAAAGCTCATAACCTAACCATTATGGCTAAGGAAAAAGGACACCTATGACTTTTTTATTTTATATTTTTTATCTTGCTAAATAAAATATGTTACACTCACGTTCATTATCCTAATATGGAGTAAGTTTTCACCCTAATAATACAAAAGTTGGAGTAGTATAAGCAGTAAAAATATTAATATAAGCTATTAGATAAGGACCAGATCGAGTGATAGTATAAGCTATTAGAAGCATCATTTGCTGTCCACCACACGTATGTACGAAAATATACAACTTACTAGCATTAATTCCACCACTTACCAAAGCAATAGCTATGAATATTTAATGCTATGTTTGATTGCTTACAAGTTACAACTACTCTTTGTATCATATGATTAATGAATTATGAACCCATTTTTATTTTTTAATTTCTCTATAAATAGCATATACTACCCTAACTCACAATTATCAATATAACATACCAAAAAAAAAAAGTTTGAATCAAATACATATATACATACATATTACATACCATAATGGTGGTTTGTAGTACTATGAAAAACTCTAATGATAATAATAATGAAGATAATCTTGTTTATGGAATAAGATTATCTTCCGTAGGATCGGCGACAGTAACGGGAAATTTAGTTTATGAGCCTAATAACATGGATTTAGCAATGAAAGTACATTATCTAAGGGTAGTGTACTTTCTTGATAGCCAAGCAATTGAGGGATTAATCCCTTTTAAATTGAAGGAGGCAATTTTTGCATGGCTTTGTTACTATTATGAATCTTGTGGAAGGTTTAGGAGATCTGAAGAAGATGGTAGACCTTTTATCAAGTGTAACGATTGTGGGGTTAGATTTGTCGAAGCAAAAAGCTCGAAAACCCTAGATGAATGGATTCAAATGGAGGATACTTCTTCTCACAGGCTTCTTGTTGCTGATAATGTTCTTGGTCCTGAGCTCACTTTCTCTCCTCTTGTTTTTCTACAGGTTTGCTTCAATCTTTCTTTTAATTTAAATTGTACTTGTTGTTCAGAATTAATAGTCGCATATACTATTTTAAGTCGATCAAATCTTATATTAAATATATAAATATTGTTGTCACCATCTACTCATCTATATATGTTGAAATTGTTTTGGTTCGTGATTGAATTTAGACCTCAACTATAAAGGTTAGTTTTGTAAAATCATTTCATAAAATAACCATAAAAGGCTAAGACAATGTATAATAAGTCTAATGACAACGAACAAACTCGAGAGATAGATGTTACTTTCTCCCCTTTAGGATGTGTTTGCAAGGTCCACAACTCTGGGTTTAATTATTAACACTTTATTTAATTTATATTTTGTTTTTTAGTTATGTACTCTAACTTGCATATATAACCACCACCTAAAAACCAAACACTTGTTTGTTTCTTCGTTGTAATTAATTTGATCACCAAAATAAGGCTGCATGGCTGCATATAGTTTGTTTCTTTGTGTAAATGTATCATGCATCATAAATATATTTCTATATTTAGTGATTACTCAACCACTTAATTTGATTTTTAAAGCATACAAGTATGTTTAATTCATACTCGTAGGACCAACAAATTCATATATACAAGTAGGTGTAATAGATAAGATTGCCTTTGTTTTCCTATTGCCAAAAAAAGCCTAAATCATCCCGCCGGTTGTTTAAATCCCATGCATATTGTTTTCAATATCGCATGTTTTACCGGGCCAATAGCATACAATAGATTTCAGTATAAATGTATAATTAATTGGGTAAAAGGTTTCAAAGTAGTACTCGAAATTTAGAGTTGAATCTCATCTACATTGATTACTGTATTTGTAATTCTCTCTACACATGAAAACAATCAGCTCATACGGATCAAATACACCCGCAAACCATATTATGTAAAAACAATTATCCTTAGTAATTTTGTTCCAAGAAATTTAACATAAAAATCATATGGATGCTTTGAAGAAAAACATCTTTATACATATCCTTTTCAATATTGCCACATTTCACTTACAAGTTATAATCATAGGTCATATTTAATTATGTAAAAACTACCTATCATAATTTTGTTTCATGAATTTAGAGGTTATTATTTTATTAAATTTTTGATTTGCTTAGGAAAAAAGTATCTTTATCAATCTATATCATAATTCATACCATACTATAATCTAAACTAGCATCGATTGCATACATTAAATGCAATAGATCAACGAGGTGAATGCATAATGGTCCAGGGCAAAGAGAGAACTGCCAAAAATGAATTTGTGGGACAACATAATTACTAATTTGACTCCTCAATTTTTGAAATAATGAATACTTCCTCTATTTATATTTACATACATATTTGATTGATTTAATTTATTTCCATTTTGAGGTGTTTTTATCTAATGTATTCGCTTCTATTTTGTTTTCGGCAAAAATACATTTTACCTGTGTTACAATTTATACTATTAACTATTTTATTTTATCCAACTTTTTTTATTATATCAACTCAATCAAGAGTACATAAAATCAGAAGTATATTCTAGCTTAGTATTGTACTATATACCTATCTTGTTTGTCTAAAAACAATAGTCATGGGTTAAAATAGAAGTGGACCCATTCAACTCAATTATTACTTGTAACATGTAAGATGAATGAAAGGTACATTTCTTCTAAAGCCTGGTCATAAAAAGCAGTAAGATCTTCAAAGCTATGATTTTGAAAGATTAAGACAAATCAATATTGCTTAATCAAAAGCTTAAGTACTTTATTATAATAGATGGTGAGATTATTGACATTTCAGTAGTATACCCAATCTTTGTTGGAAGGTATTCCCTAGGTTTGTCAAAGATCTAACAATAAAAACCAAAAAGACTACATCTGATTTTTAAGTATTACAACAACCAGATTTGTACACTATTTAGACACTCATCAACTCCTATTCGACTATTATTCAATTGTGAATAGAGTAGAACGTAACAAAAAAAATACAATAATGTGGAATTTTCTTAGATAAGCTTGGTATATACTTTTAAAATATCAAATTTAATTAATTTTTTTATTAGGGTTAATTTGTATTTTGGGAAAATTAAATACTCCAAATTATACTTCATATTAGTAACGAAAGGATAGAGCGAGTATGAATCAACTAACATAAGTAACACTTAAAAAATAAGAATCAGCAAGAATTGTAGCAACACTAGCAAGATCATAATGTTATCTAGGTCACACAAATAGAGATATATACAAGGTATGAAATTGATAAGACTAACACTCATATCGTTTGTTTGATATATTTTGATTTCTAAACCCTTATATCAAACCACAAAGTAGGGCTTAGAATCTCGATAGAAATATTCAACACAAAACCTTTATATTATATATCAACTAAAAAATAAATATTCATTTCCATATAAAATCAAAATCCAAACTCATTATCATAGTGATCTTGAGCCCGATGATTTCAAATCTATATCAACTTGTGAGCCAAACACCATAGATGTTAAATTGAAGAAACCATATACTATGTCAACCACAATAAATTAATTGTCCAATCAAAGTGTAACAATTGTTAAAGATAGTGTCCTTTAGTGGACCTCAATTTGTTACTTTAGTGGCATAGTCCGAGTTTTATCAAGAAAAAGTTTGTCTTCAAATTCCAAATTTGGAAATGGATGATTTACAGTAAATTAGATATGGACAACTTGTAAATAAAAGCTCAACGCATTAGAATATATGGATAAAATCGCTAATTGAATCAGCAAATTTAGGGTAAAATCGTTATTTGAGATAGCAATGTTTTAGAACTTAGCGGTTTTACACCCTAAATATTGAAAAAGATGCACATATTTCGTTTATCAAGGTGATAAAGTAGGATCGCCTCATATATTTTTATACCCCACATGCCATAATTTAACATTATAATAATTCTAAATTGAAAGTTTGTGGATGTTATCCTTGAACTAATATTTTTATTAAAAAATAAATAAAAATAAAGATAAGAATAAAGAAAACAAGAATGGCCTCTAGAGCCTTAGTTTTATTGCGACAACATGGAGTGTTGGTTTTTATTTTGAAGCACATTTATTTTCTAGGGGTTTGAATTTTAGATTCATTGGAGTTATTAGCTCCATATTTAGGTTGATTGAGCTTTGCATCATAAAACCCTCACTTCTATTTTATTGATTTTTTTTTATATTGATATGGAATTATGTTTATAAATTATAAGTACATTTGTTTTTGCTTTTATCATTGTACAGATTACCTCTTTCAAATGTGGAGGATTATCTTTGGGCCTCAGCTGGGCCCATGTGCTAGGAGATGCATTTTCAGCAGCAAACTATATGAACACTTTAGCACTATTCTTGAATGGGCTAAAGCCCAAATTTTCTCCCAACCTAAACAAAGCACCTCCTCCCCAAAATCTCAAGCCCAAAAATCCCATAAACTCAGAACCATCAACTCTAAAGATAGTGGGTTCACTTGGAAACCATTGGATCATGCCCTTACCCTGTGAAATGGGCACAATCTCCCTTCATTTGAAGCCCACTCAATTGACCCAATTGCAAGCAAAATTTTCTGAGAATGATTCCACTCTAAGCCCAATCCAATCTTTTGAGATGCTCAGTGCTGTAATCTGGCGGGCCATAGCAAGAATCAAAGATGGGCCTGAGCCCAACATAGTGACCATCATCAAGAAAGACGCCGCAAGCCCAATAGAGGATGTCATGGCTTTAAGGAACAACCAATTTGTGGGCTCGGTTAAGGCGGATTTTTCAGTAGGGAAGGCCCATCCCAAAGTGCTTGCGGCCTTGATCCAAGACAAGGCGAAGAGCGAAAGGGATCAAATTGAAGAGGTTGTGGGCCAAGACCCTGGAGGATGTGATTGTATTATATACGGGTCGAATTTGACATTTGTGAACTTGGAAGAAGTGGACTTCTACGGGTTTGAGTTGAAAGGGTTAAGGCCAAGATTTGTGAATTGTTTTGTGGATGGTGTTGGAGGAGAAGGGGTCGTTTTGGTACTTCCAAGTCCAAAAGATATTAATGGTAAAAGCAATGCCAAAACTTTGAGTGGAGGAAGAATTGCGACAATAATTTTGCCGAAGATTTATATGATGGAGCTCAAGAAGGAGTTGAAGGAGTGGGGTCTTAGTGCTTAAACAAGGGGAGTTATATGCATTTTAGGTACTTTTATTTGAAGAACTAGTATAGCGCGAGTTAAAATTTAGTATTTTGTCGTGTTATTATAAACACACTATAATTTGCTGTTCAATTTAACTATAACACAGTTAGCTATGTTTTTGTCATCTATGTATGAAATTATGTCATCAAGAAAGATCATACAATCTCTCTGTAATAAGAGTCAAACTTTGTATCTTTACTTTTTTCTATTTAATGTATGAAGCGCATAATGTATCAAATTTAATATGTATGAAATTGTTTTGGAAGTAAAAGCTTGTTTCTCGTAACTCTTTTTTTTTTGTCTTAGCTTGGAGATCATCCACTTGGCAATAATCTAGCATACAATAACATCCATGGATATGTATCTATTGTATTCTTGTACTTGCTTCCAAAAAAAAAAAACAATTATTTATAGTGGCTAATTATTTATATTGGAGTAATAGGACCAATAGCGAGCCCTAAAACATTTGGAGTAAAATGTCACCTTATTTGTGTACACAAAATAGTAAAATGTCACTATATTAGTATTACACAATATATTTTAAAGAGAGTGACGGATAAGTCAAGTGGTTAGAGCTTCCCTTTCAATTTTAGGTGATTTTGGGATCGATTTTCATCTCCGCCTTTGTGCTCTCTAAAAAAAAAAACCAATATATTCCGTAAAGAAAAAGGCAATATCTAGTATGAGGTGAAAAATGTCACCTTATTTTATAAGTCAAACATAGAAATCACTTGTGACCTATACTTGTAGATGTAATACAAAAAATATTGGAATGAGGTTAGATTTATAGCAATCATATATGTAAACAATTACAATTAGGCTAATATTAAGAACTAATGGGTAGAAGTAAAATATTCTCATTGTTATTATAAATATAAAGATGACACTGGTCGGGATGGCTCGTGAGGTCATGACACAACACGTTACTCTACAAACCAAATTTAGCTAATTGGCTTCCTTTTTAATTTTTTAAGAAAAACTTTGATAAAATATAGAGCATGTAACAAAACTTCCTACTGCAAATGTTTTCTGAAAAAGAAAATTTGATTATGTTTTCTTGAGCTTCAAAATTGCTGATAAAATTTGGTAGGGAATGGCTCAGTGTTACATTCAGAGAACTTCGTCTTCGTCTCAGCAGTGTAAAGGATAAGACTCATAAACCTCTGGTCCTCTAAAGGGGACAACTCTATTATTATTTCTGGTTTTTGTCAAGTTCATCTCTAAATTCTTGTCAAAAAAAAAAAAAAAAAAAAAGTTCATCTCTAAATTTACCAAATAGCCCGCAAATCTAATAACATTCATCACCATGAGATTGGATCGTTAAAACTTAAAAGAAAAACAAAACAAAACAAGACAAAAAAAAACAAAATCTTGAATGAGACAGTTGTAAATAAATATGAAAATTCGAAATTACGGTACATGCTATACTTACTCGTCTTGTAGGTAACTTAAGACATTTTGTCTTACAATAATTAAGTGTGAAAATGTCTCACTCAAAATTTGCTAATAATCGCCACTTTTTCATGTTTTTTTTTTTTTTTTTCATTTTAGTTTTCATCATTGAACACCATTTTTCCATATTATTAACACCTCCCATCCACCTCCAGTCCTCCAAATAAAAAAAAATCAAAACATTATCCTTAAGTTGGGACCAAAATTACATCCATCAATCCAAGAAGCTGAAAACAACATATGGTGTATTTTTTTAAAAATGCTCACAAAAAAAATAAAAAATAAAAATATATATATATATATATATGAACCTCGAAAGTTCACCACTCTATTTTCCTTCCCTTTCAATTCAAATGAAATTGACCTCAATAATCTTCTCCAGTGTTCCTTTGGCGCATCGCTACAGCTGTCACTCATCTTAAAGCTTTCAACTCCCATTTAGCAATTTTATACTTAATCTTCGTTAGTAAATCCGTTGTACGCTTGGTTGTATGCTTGTGTCTTGCACGTACTGGTTGTACAAGGAAGATTTACGTAGCCATAAGCATCGATGCATTATTTTTCCTCTGTTCTTTAGTACTAGCATTGTGAAAGCTCAAAATGGTGTAAGAAAGTAAAATAAAATCAAACTTCGAGAGCAAATTCGAGCAAGAAGCATAGATGTATATATGCAATATGTTTCTTGATTACACAGTTAACACCTATGGGCGATATAATCAGGAAGACAAAGCCCACATCAATGCTTGAACTTATAAGCACAATCCAAGCAATCAGCAAAGGGCTAATTCTTCCTATTCCTAGTAAATCCACAAAATGTGGGTAAGAAAACTACTGAACAAGCCTTCAAAAAAAAAAAACCTACTGAACAAAAAATACAGATATATACATAGCGAGGCTTATCATTAAAATCGTGATTAAGAAGGTGATTCACTCCTTTGACGGCGCATTCTAGCACCCCATGAGTTTTTCTTAGCATCTTTGTACATGCTTCTCTTCTTCAATTCTGATAGTTGGCTCTGCCAACGACCTCTCCAATCACTTGTGTCCTTCATTTCCTGATTGCAAACAAAAGTCATTTATTACGAGAAATTTTGATGCAATAATATTTACTGGCTTTCAAAATGGAAGGATTCAATGCTTCATAAAATCATCAAAATGTACAAACAGGACAAGTAACAACTAGGCTGGTGGTGGGGTTTTATTTAAAGATCTGGATAGAGGAAACATTTCATGAGTAGGTAATCATGTTTATCCTTCTCTTCAAGAGGATAGCACATAATTAAACAACTACAACGCATTAACAACAAAGGGACCAGCTAGCTTCTGTTAAGGGAAAACTACATCTGATTGGTTGTTTCGAGATTAAGATGAATAATATTCAACCTTGGCCAACTGATAACATACTCAATTCAAAATTATAGGTCTAATTGAACTTTTGTGGTCAACTTGTTTACTTTTCACTACTATAATTGACAGGGTATCAGACTATTACAGTAAAACTTAACAACAGTCTTATGATAATACAGAGCACCATTTAAAATTTATCTAAACTCATTTATTTTTCAATACATATTTCAACAAAGTAAAAAATTTAAAGGTAGCAAGTGGCTTGTTAGTTTGAAAATGAGGAACTATTAGAGTATTAGGTTTAACAAACCTATGAAGTTCAAACTTGTAACATTTTTTGTTTTACCTTTTTTCATTCCATCAAATGGGACGGCATCTTAAATAACCATTAATATAGTCAGCAAAGATTCTAACAAAAACCCATCACCTAACAAAGTCAATTATGGCATTCCCTAGTCGATAAGTGTCTAAAATTGTCAACCCAAAGCAGCATTAAGAAGGGGGCGGGGGGACTTTAGAATTGTGATGATACTACACTTTATGTCCTCACTTATTCATCCTGCAATATACCTAAGGAAAAGAGTACCCTACATGATCAAGCATAAGCTTATATTACATGTGACTAATATGCCACAATCTAACAGTGAAGCAACATCATCTTCTAGGGAAGTTTATGGATGAAGAGGAGAGGGGAAACAACATTAATCTCCCAAGGTAAACCGAAGGCTTTATGATGAACAAAAAGTAGGAGTCTTAACCAAAACCGAGATATACTGTTTAGCTATAGAACAAGAACATAAAATGCGAAAGCAAAATCACAGACTTGAATTGATCATCCCCACTACAAAGTCGGCAGAGAAAATCCAGGCAGTTAGCTTAAATTGATTTAGATTGAACAAGTTTAGAGGTGATTTCAACCAAATTTACCACAACACGACGGCATTAGTGCCAAGTAATTGATAGCAATTTCTATACATCCGAATTGAGTTATGGTTAGGCAACATGACAAGGTTAGCTCTTTTAAATTGCTAAATCTATAATAACCTTATCAATCAACAAGACACGTTACGTTTGAGTACAATCAACCTATAATTAAATTTATCAATAAACTTGTTTCAAAAAGTATATTTATCAATGAACACCAATATTTAGCAATAAGGTAATACAGGAAACATCAATAATTCATACCAAACGGCTCAATAATAAGTACAGAGTATAAATTTAGCTTCAATTCACAAAGCTAGTCATAAAATTAGCTCAATAACAAGAACAAAACTAAATGAACCCTAATTTTCAAACACAAAATTGATAAATTAAGGATTAAACTTTCCTCAAAATTCAAACAATCCAGATCAAAAACAAAGATACCCAACTCAAATTTTCACAAACCCAAATACCAAAATCAAAATTCAACAACACCCAGATCAAAATTAATGGCATAAATTCTAAAAAATATGCTATAATATACCTCATCATCAAACTGGTTCATCTTCTTCCGAGCAGAAAACGCAAGATGAAGTCCGCGCGCCATATCTCGATCATATATAGCTCTCATTCGAGCATCAGACAAAGTTTCATACGCTTCTTGAACACGAATAAATCGGTCAGTATACTCCTGCACTAAATCTGGGGGTGATACATCAGGGTGATATTTGCGCGCGAGTTGCTTGTAAGCCTGCTTAATTTCAGACAATTCGACGGTTGTTGGGATGTCGAGAAGCTCGTAGAAGGTCATTTCTGAGATGGGTTTTGTGATTCCGCCATTGTTGAGGGTAGCTCGAGCTTTGAGAGTTGAAAATGGCGGTGTTGTTTGGAAGGAAATGCGATTTGAAGGGAGGTAAGAGGAAGAAGATGGGATTGATGAAGTGGGGTTTGATGGAATTGGAAAAGGTGAGTTTTTTGAGATCAAATTATCGTAGTTTATTTGCATTTTTTCTGGTTTTTGGATTTTTTCTTTTTATCAAAATGTTGGGCAAATTGGGAGGTTTGAGGAGGAGGAGAAGAAGTATAAATTGAGGTGCTGGGAACGTTTGAAAAAGGCCCAAGATTTTGCGTGCAATTTGGAAAATGACCATGGTGGCTTTGTAATTTATACTAGTAATTTTTTTTTCCAGTTTTCGGTAACTTTTACGAAGGATAAGGATATGCGTTAGCGTATTGGTAAAGTTTAATTAGGAATTAGGATTTAATTGTTCATTTAAGTATGAGTATGTGTAAAAAGGAAGTGACTTGTAGAATGATTAAGATTGCACATTATTTTCTTAATCACCCTTCTAATTGAACTTATTGAACTCTTGCAAAAAAGATGATTAGTGAAGTTATTGAATCAATATATTCGTAAGTACGGATTATATTTATGAATACTTAACTACTTAAGCAATTAGGGAATATCTCTTAAAAACTAGTGGCCGGATACTTTATTCCACATTATTTAACATTTTCCATTTAACACATAGGTTCAAGGGCAATTATTAACATATTGTCCAACTAACATTATGCAGATCTTATTGGACATTAGGATTATCTAATTATTTTCAAAGTACCTTAGTTATGGATTTATGCTATGTAACATGATTTCTATAAATGATATTGTAGCAAACTTCATTCATTGCCCAATTCCCTTTTAACTTACATTAACAGATGTAGTGTAGAAGAGTAAATCACTAAATCTATGTGCAAGTATCACATCTAACACTCAAGCAGATTTAGTTTAGAAGAGTAAATCACTAAATCTATGTGAAAGGCAACATTTTAAGTATCACATCTTACACGCCAGTATGTGAGGTTTACACGTTAGTTATAAAGTTTACAAAAGTTAATTTCACACGACAACACAACATTTAATCCTAGAAGTTATATTTTTTGTAACAAACTTCATTAACAGTCCAATGCCCTATTATCCTAACGAAAGTAGAAGAGAAGAGTAAATCTATATGCAAATCCAACGTTTTAAGTATCACATCTTACACGCTAGTTATAAAGTTTATATAAGTTAATTTCATACGACAACACAACATTAAATCCTAGAAGAGATATTTTTTGTAACAAACTTCATTAATAGTCCAACCCCCTTTATCTTAATGAAAGTAGAAGAGAAGAGTAAATCTATGTGCAATCCAATATTTAAGTACCACATCTTACACGCCAGTGTGTGAGATGTACACGCTAGGTATAAATTTTACAAAATTTAATTTTACACTACAACACAACATAAATCCCTACACGATTTAAGTCATGCTTACAAGTCATAATCTAAGATGAACACGCTAGTTGAAAGTTAATTTAACACGACAACATGACATAAGCCCGACATAATTCGAGCCACCGGATAACTGAAAAGGATAGTTTTGCACATTGGGCCGTTGAGGGTGGAACTTGGGAGGAAGCCTTAAATCCCCTGATCACGTGATAGGCAGCTGACATATGGATAACGCGATAACACTCAAAATCGAACACCAAAACCCCTTACTCCCAAAACCCCATTGAAATTGTGAGTGTATTACCAAAAACATCAAAATAATAATAATCTGGATAATCTTTCTCCTCCAAATTCAATCTAATTTTTGAATTGGGTATTTGAAATAATCATTAAAAACCCAGAAAAAATGGCAACAATTTCTTCAATTCTCCCATGTCATGGCCTACTTCAACACTCTTCATCTTCTTCAAAACCCAAGTTTTCATTACAAAATTTGGTTCAATTTCCCTCTTTTAATCATGGGTTTGGTCTAAATTTCAAGCCCATAATTGCTGCAAATCCGCCATTGTTGAAGGTTCGAGCTGTTGTAGCTGAAGAAACTTCATCTTCATCTTCTGCACCATCTTCTTCAGATGGGGAAGAAGCTCGTAGATTATACATTGGTAACATTCCCAGAAATCTCAATAATGATGAACTTCGTAACATTGTTGAAGAGCATGGCGCCGTTGAGATAACCGAGGTTTCTAATTTCTTCAAAGCTTTCTATTTTACTTGAATTTATTTTTCAGGGGTTTATTTACATTTTAGCTATTTATGTTTGATGTGAGTAACATTTACAGTTTATTTATATGCAATTTTGGTCTTTTGCTTTGATGGGTGTCTGTTTAGTTGAAATTTTGTTCAATTATTTGTGCTGTGTCAAACTGTCAAAAGTTTATGATTCTTGTAGAGTAAGAATTGGTGTATTCATACCTTGAATACTGAACATATGTTTATTTAACAAAATGGATTTTGCCGGCCTCACTGGTGCTACTAGTGTATGTATGCCTTGTAGTAAGCAATGTAGATCACTTGAAGAGGTGGAGCAATTGCAGTGCCTCTTATTTTGGTGGTTAAGGATTGTAATTATCGTTGTTTCGAGGTATGGAGTATAATTTGACTATGTTGTTATATGGAAATCATACTAGATATTGGTGGTTATTAAAGGCTTGGTTTTTAACTAAAACTATGATGTAAATATGTGGGGTGGGGGGCAATGAGCAGGCTGCCAGTTAACTGTATTAAGGTGTTGATCGAGCTTGGATTTAAGGTGAAAACTTACAATGGATGATTGAGGATACTGAGATTAGTGAGGCTTTTGTTGCTGTGTGATTTGTTCCTTTTTCTATATAGGTTTGTCAGTGTTTGGGAAGTCATCATGTCATCCCCTGAAATTGTATTTCTACCAAAAAAGTTCAAATTGTATGATTTAGAGGAGAGGCGAGGTGTTAGTTGTGATGGGGGGGAAAGCCTAATATCAACCTAAAACTAGATATATGCATTACATGTATCGATTAGTAATCAAGAGTTGGAGAGAGAGAGAGAGGGTGTGGGGGGGGGGGGGGGGTGGAGGACGGCATACTTCGGCCCTTTAGAAGCCTCGCCCATGATATGATCTACTGATCTCTTCTTTATATGTAGACAATTAAGACAGGACAAGGGGTAAAAAGAATATTCACTGATTTTGATCCTATTTTGAAAAACTTTTTCAGACTTTTGATTCTCTTACAAGGATTCACATATCAATTCTTATAAGGGAAACCATGTAAAAGAAACAGACCCCATGGTGGTGCTACAATGCTTGGCTTCAGTCAGATGCAAAGCAGCAACTTGCAGTTGAATGAATGATTCACCAATGCCATATGCCAATCTAGAAACTTAAACAAAGATTAAATGCTCTTATATCTGTAAATACTGAAGTTCTATTCTAATTCTATCATCCCTGTGGCCTATTTACTTTCCTCTTGTGAGCCCGCTTTTATGTGTGACCACTTAGCTTTTCAACTAAAGATAATTGACGGGTACTGGGGTATATTTGAGAAAATCTTCAGAGTTTTTCTCTAGTAAATCCTTTTTTTGTGCTTGAGTGTATCCAGCTTTTCTTTTAGCAAATTTTATCTGGAAGGTCATAGTCCCTCTGAAGTTGAGAGGTTTTGTGTGGACGCCGGCATTGGGAAGGAACATCACGAACGATATGCTCTGAAAAAGGTGGCTTCTTTTGTTTGCTTTGTCAAGCTAATTGTGAATCTTGCTCATATGTGTTCATTCACTGTGAGCTGGCTTGTTACGGAGTTAAGAGGTTTGGGTTTGTCCTTTACATTTATAAGATTGGGTTACAAATTTGTTTTGTGTGGTTTGGAAAGGTGAAAGGTTATCCAATTGGAGAGATGCGAAGGAACTGGGCTAACTTGTAAATTACAATTATTGTGTTTCTCCTTGAGGACATCTTATTTTTCTCGCCGCCTTCCTCTTTTCGAGTTTTAATAAAATATTTCTTCTTAATTTATAGTTAACTTAAGAGCAGATATAGAAGTAATACTGAGCTGAATAGTGAAGAAGCAATTAGTCTTCACCAAGATTCTAACGCCTCTTACTTCTATACAACCTCCGTCAGCTGTATGATGAGGAAATAACAATAGATGGATTCAACTTTGATTTATTTGAATCCAATTCCTTGGAGGAAAATGAGGTGGAGAAAATGAGTCTGCAAGAGCATAGAGCTCTAGATAAAAGCCAAAGGAGGGGGGGAGGGTCTTTGCAGAAGACCACAATAGATAGATTTTTTATGTAGCCGATCCCATCCCTTTGGGAATAATGCTTTGGTTTTGTTATTGTGAAGAATAGTGAATAGTGGACAGGGTTCAGTCATGCCTTTTCGTGAAATAGGTTTCGATCAACCGTGAAATTTGGTTTATATATGCTGGTGTTTTTACTTCTTGACAGTCGTAACAAAACTTGTTGTAGTATATTACTATATTTTATCATCTAGAGATGAATTTTTAAAGAGGTTAATCTACACTCCTCTTCAATTTTTTGTGTGGGTTGGAGGCATCTTCTTTTTTTCTGTATTAAATTATGTGATGTCTAAGTGATATGCAAATGCTTCTTGTTTCGTGCAGGTGATGTATGATAAATATTCTGGAAGAAGCAGAAGGTTTGCTTTTGTGACAATGAAGACTATTGAAGATGCAAATGCAGTGATCGAGAAGTTAAATGACACAGTATGCACTCTTATTGCCCCTAAAATTTTATCAATCATTAATGCCATGGGTCTGTGTACAATAACAGCATCGGACTTTGACCAATATTTCTCCATCTTTTGCCCTTTCTGATTCAGGAAATTGGTGGGCGTAAAATAAAAGTTAATATTACTGAGAAACCTTTGCAAGGTATGGACAGGGCAGTGACCCAGGCAGAGGATTCACAATTTGTCGAGAGTCCCTATAAAGTTTATGTTGGTAATCTTGCAAAGACAGTAACTAATGAGTTGCTGAAGGATTTCTTCTCAGAGAAGGGGAATGTTCTCGGTGCAAAGGTTCAACGGACCCCAGGGACCTCCAAGTCTAGTGGTTTTGGGTTTGTTTGTTTCTCATCGGATGAGGAAGTAGAAGCTGCAATTGAAGCTCTCAACAATGCTGTAAGCGGATTTAGCATATGACTTGATATCTGCTATTAGCTTTCTCAATGCTCCATAATCAGATGATCTGGACGTTAGCTGTTGTTTTCTTTTCAACATTGTAGTCATTTTATTTTCAAGTCTCCTGATGCAGAATTTTTCATTGCAGGTTTTGGAAGGGCAAAAGATACGCGTGAACAAAGCTTAGGTCAGGAGAGGGGCTTAAGCTGTTAGGATGGGAAATTCTAAGTTTTGTATGTGCCATTAAGCTCTTTTTCTTGATTTAACTTCATAACAAAGTTAATCAGAAGATTTGAAGAGTTTGTTCTTGACTGCTCGAGTCTGTAAGCTGAGGCTTTGTTGGTGCACTGGCTAAGTGGCCAGTTGGTCACCCCAAATAGCTTAGTAGACATAGTTAGTTTTCAGATATAACTATTTTGCTCACAACTTTTATTGTTGTCATCATCTTCATCCGCAGCATAATATATTTGTTGTTTATATTTGCTTAATTGGGATTCCCTACTTCCATAATTCATGCATAATTATGCCATGCAATTTAGTATATCATGTATTAACCGATTGCTGGAATAGTTATAAAATGGTTCTTTGTTCTTCAGACTTGCCATTATTGTTGATTGCAACTCAACCATGGTATGCTGATGCTCAGTAAGCACAAGGCCTTGGCGTTGGTATGCTGATGTTGCCGCTTTTCATGCAGCCATGCCCATGCCCAATCAAGGTGCATGCCGAGGCCTATGCAAGGGCAGGGCTGCCAGGTCAAGGTATGCCATGATCCAGCCTGGGGCATGGGCACGAGGACAAGACATTAGACACGTTAGGCTTTGTAAAACCTATATTGGCAATTGAGGGTAGCGTCTTAGCTTGCTTTAAGGCCAAGACAACGGAAGACCAAATTAAGGCAAGACAATACATTGTTCAGATAACACAAGGCTTAAACAAGGCAGCTTAAGACTTGATAGTAAGGGGTGGGTCAAGCATTTATGAGATGGTTTCAAGCACTGAGTACACATCCTAGTTCCCTTTGGGAACCCCGGGAAGCACCTCGATGTATAGCCTTGTTGTGGCCGAGAATGTTCCATAGAGGCTAAATTTGAATACACGAATTCTGACAATTTTTGGAGATTTTGGGATCCGTCGTGGAAAAGTCAAATAATGTTAGGAGATGCATCCTAGGGCCATATAATGTGTTTTGAATTACATATAGTAGTAGATCATATAATATAAAGGCTTGTTGTGGCAAAGTTAATGTAAGGGGACGTGTATGTAAACGACTACGACGTTGACAGTTTAAATGCAAGTTTGATGGCCTCAGCCACCCAAAGAGCTTTTTGGGGTCTTGTAGGGTCCATGGAAAGCACTTCATCCCATTCTGAGCCAGAAAAAGTCAATTGTCTAATATGGAAGGTTGTAATTCACGTTTTCCGATAAATTTTAGGTAATTTTTCTGAAATTGAAATGAAAGTGAAAACGTCAAAACTATTGGTTAGACGCCATTACTTAGAACAAAACTATACCTTGTGAAATCATATTGATCAAATACATACTATTAGAAGATACATTACGTACCTTGCTAAAAAAAATAAAACCCCAAAAACTAACTTTAAAACACTGTCAAATTGCTCATTCTAATTCCTAACCATTACAGAGTTACTGTAACATGTCTTAAAATCACTGGACTTTCATTGAACAACTCATTGAGCCTCATGGTAGCTTTTTTAATTTGCAATCATTCAAATATTGTTTCAGGTGAATGTCAGCTTCTGCTTCGCTAATTAAGACCTTCAATGGAGAAAATTTGTAAATATTACTGCGATTGTGATGCTAGTATTCGAAGGAAAACCTATGATCGAGTAATTAGGGTTGTGAAATGGTGTAGTGGTTGAATTAGCGTTCAACTTTAGAAGTTTTTGAAATTTAGGGAGTAATGTGTAGAAAGTTGACGTAATTATGTTTCTTTGATATGAGACTGAATTACTTGTGATTAAAAGTCTATTTTTCACTAGTAAAATTTCGATGTGAATATCTGCTTTTGTTACCTTTTAGATTTCATTATTATGGCTTTATTACCGCGAACATGATGAGGATTGGATGCTAGTGTTATCAGTTATTTTAAAGCATAATGTAATATTAAAAGCTAGGATGTTGATTGTGAATGGGATGCACTTTTGTGTGGTGTTATAACTCTTGCTTTTGCGTGATGCATGTAAAAAGAGGAGTGAATGATTTTTTTGAGAAGATCTTTAACTCATGTCTCATGAATTTTTTTTTTTTTGACCAGAATTTTAAGAGTTTCGAAGCATCACAACTTTTACAAATTGCAGATGAACAGGAGCGCACTACTAGATATTGTCCTCTTTGGGTCCTAGCTTGCAACGATTTGCTTTAGTGTGGGCTCGTCCCACCCAAAACACATTGGTATCAATTTCTTGTATATAGAAGGCTTCGTTCTCCTCAAATTTGGACGTGGATGGAACATCTAGTTCCCTGTCACCCACCCTCAATTTTGGACCGGATTGGATATCCGATTTGAACACTTTCGCTGGGATGACGATATAACAATTGGGATTTTAACACTTGAAAATTTGGGCCTGATTTAGCTTTGGACACCGGCTCTTGGACTCGATCTGCGGGTGTAGCCTGTTGGTTTATGAAAGTTTGTCTTCCATGGTTTCACCATTACTCATTAGAAATACAGTATAATCCCCCGTAATTTTGTGAAATTTAAAATTATATTTTAACATATTTATGTGAATATGTAATTATGATTATTTATTTACATAATTTATTTTACTATGATTTAAGCAAATAAATTTAATGTTTAAAAAGTTAATAAAATTATTTTATTAAATAATTTCACTACCCATATTTTAATCATGAATTATTATGCAAGCCCAACCCATTAATTACTAAGCCTATTCTTTATCTAAAACCCACTCACTTTAAGCCCAAGTAACAATCCTAGTTTTATTACAACTAGGAAACCCAAAACCCCACTTTTTATTATTTAAACCCACCTAAAATTTTTCACCTTTTTACTCCAAAAACTCACGTTCAACTTGCTGCTGCTACTGCCTTCTTCTTCTTCCCATTCACGATCAAACCCACACAAAAAAAAAAAAAAAAATTGCTTGTTGCCCGACAACACCAGCCACCACCACGCCACCACTGCTGCTCCGGCGTCCACCGCGGCCCCCTCCTCGACAGCAGAGAGGACTTTGTAGAAGGCGATTTCTAGTTCCTAGAGTGGCCAACCAACTCGTTTACTCAAGGTATGTATAAGCTACGAAACCTTGACTTTAGAAGCATGTTTAAGGATTTGGAAAACCTTAGAATCATGTTAGGGAAACTTGTAGATTGGTTGAAATTGTTTGGTAGTGAATTTGATTGATGATTAATGTGATGTTGGTTTGATTCATGTATGAGAAATGCGTATTGGTTTTTCTTGTAAGTATTATTTATGCAATAACTTGCAAGATGGGCTTAGAGACAAAGGTACATGAATATATGGAATGAATTGTTTTATTACTCGTTCATAAATAATGAAATGGAATGAGTAAAGGGAGATTTAAAGTCTTATAAGATGAGGTTGAGGATTGAGGTGCCCTATGCACTTTAGGTGTTTATACACTGAGGTAGTTAAAGGGTTCAATAATAAATATTGTTTGTCACTAATAAAACAAGAATTGAATTGGAAACTTGAATTGATTAAATGATTGTTGTTTGATTGATGGTATCGTTTTGCATTTGAGTCATCACCAAGTTTAAATTGGTAAATCACGGAAAGTGCAAGATGGATGAGCAATAAAACTCTGGATTTGTGCACATCTAGAGTATTGACAATCAGGGGTTGGGGTTCACGGGGTATTAGCCGTGTACTTTCTAGAGGCTGTCTGATCTACGTGTCACTTGTTTACAAATGTTTTGCTAAACTATAAGGAGTTAGATGAGATCTCATACTAGGTATGGCCACGGAGTCGCGTTCGTCTTCCATTGGATGTTTATTGAGGTTTCTGAAAGGAGGCATGGGGTTTTTCTTTATTGATGTTCTGAAATAGAGCATGGGGAGACAACCTTGTCTATAGCTTAATCCAACCAATGAATGAAATGAATTATTGTTAGTAATTAGTGAAGTCTTAGTAATGCTAACAGTTGAGGCGTGTGTGTTTGAGTCAATAATTAGATTGTGTGTGCTGATTGATTTTTAGTAACATGTTAGGGATTCTTTGTTATATTTCGTAGCTTGTATGTACTCAGCGTTGCTGATTACGTGCTTTTGTATGTCTTTTTCTTGGTCATGGCCTTTGCCTTTTCAATGACCCTGTAATGATCCAATTTTTACACTTGTAATATTGGGGAGCAGATTAATAACGAGTTTATACATAATCAGAACTTGCATCAAGGTGGTGGGATTTTGAGTGGAGTGTTGGATATTTTCACAGTATATTTCGTTTCATAAGTTTGGATTTATTTTAACTCTGTTTGATTTATTTACTACTTTTATTGGGTTTTGAATAAGGGCCTTAATGGTTCCGACTTGTAAGACTAAATTTGGTTTTGATTTTTGGTTTTGAAACTTATTTACAACTGAGTTAGTTTTTCCGCTGCTAAACTCTGAACTAGCCTTAACGTTTGAACACGTGGCGGTAGCACATCAGTAATTCTCTTGCAAATTGTTAAAGGTATTTACATGTTTTTAAGAGAGAATTATTGGGGTGTTACATACAGACAAAGAATGGCAAGTTACCAAGCCTTTCATTAGAAATACCTCATAACAAGCTCTGATTGAATTTCAATGAAATAAGAGAATAAAAGGGGTCCCTGCAAAACTCAAAAAAAAAAAAAAAAAGTGACAGGAGAAGAAGGGCAAGGAAGCTAAACTGCTATAAGGCACGATTTAAAATTTTTAATGCCAAAATATCCTTTAAGAATAGAAAGAAATAGCTTATAAACCTCAATTTTAGACATAAGCTTGTGCCTCTGCATCCTTTATTTTAATCGATCCCTGCAAGCATAAAATTGACTTGGTAACTTTCAAACCTAATGAACAAGTTTCCAAGTTGCCCAATCATGCTAACATCTGTGTGGCATGCAATGCCTCCATGACTTCTTTGGTTCCGGGTTGTACCCAAGTTGTTCACCAAGTCTGCAATACCACTTTCATGATAAGTACAACTTCAACTTCTTTTAAACCATATATGATAAGACTGTATCATGTGATAAAAAAACAAGTTATGGCACATGAACCCACATTTGTGAAAAGAACATACAGAAATAGAGGCAAAAAACAGGATCCAACCCTTGGAGAAACTCAATATTCTATAACACTATTCTATAAACATATTCAAACCCAACAATTGCTTCTTGCAAATAAAATTGTACAATTCCATGAAAACCCAAGTTATGATGGTGTTGTTATTACAATATATCTTGTAATCTTACTAAGACAACTTACAAGTTCTGATGGTGCTGCTATTAGAATATAAAAAGTGTGAATCAATTTAAATTGAGAAACTCAATTGGGAATAGTGT